TTTTTTTTTTTTTTTTTTTTTTTTCATAATAGATTTTTTGCATTATTATTTATAATTTCTTTATTACCCCTCAAAAATTGAGTACTAAATGTTTAACCGGTATTAATAGCATTATTGTTTGTTTATTCCCGATATTCCATTATTACATTTTTGATTCATGTATCGCGGAAATGACGGAATCAAATACGGTCGAACTTTTTTTCTATTAAGCAATCTTCAAAATATTTATACAATTTTTGCATTTCTTTTATGCAATTTTTTTTTTTTAACAATAATATCTTTGACTCATTCAGATCTTTGAATTATCCAATTAAACCGATCGTATGATACGTTTGATGACGTGTTGTAACGTATTATTCTTGTTGTACGACCCAAATTATCAATTTTGGTTAAAGTTTAATATTAGTCCGACACTGGTACAACCAGGACCCAGGAAAAATTTAAAACTTTAACTTGTATACAAGATATCTTGGGAAATATAAGATTTTCCCCCACCAGAAAAGTATTTAGTTTTTGCGAGTTGGGGCGCAGTTACATATGTTACATCTTTCCATTTTTGGAATTTGTTTTGATCACAAAGGAATGGGGAACCATGATACACACATGGTAAATATTGGTAAAATATTGAAATATACAAACAAATTGTATTACCTTCTATTTGCCAATGTCTGGTGCCAATTAAGTTACACCACTTTTATTTTACTATCCCATTTTAATTTTTGACTTATTTTGTCAGTCTTATTTATGTGACTGACTGTTAGCAAAATTGGTTTTTTGTTCAAAGTTCTTTTTTCATAATTAATCCTCTTTATTCATACGTTATTCACTGGTTTCCTTCCCTTCTTCACCAGTTTGGGTACCTTTTTTTCCAATCTGTTTTAAAACTCTCGGTCGAACCCTCTAAGGAGTTTTGCCGGTACAACCAAAATATTATTTTTAATAATATAATATAATAAATCTTTCTGTCACTTTTTTTTTTTTACTTATAAAATTATATTTTCTTTGTTTATTTATTTATTTATTTATTTTTTTTATTTTTATCATTATTCTTATTTATTTTTAATTTTTTTTTATTTTTATTTTTTATATTTTATTTTTAGAACTTTATCTTAATGAACAGGTCCAAAGTGACCGTGGCATGCAAGGCATGTCAGAAAAAAAAAGTAAAATGTACAGGGATTTCTCCTTGCACTAACTGTATAAGAGCTGGTCAACGTTGTGAATTCACTGGAACCGCAAAGAAAAGAGGTCCACGTAATGGAAACGTTGAAGTGATCAAGAGTCCAGCTCGTAGAATAGAAAATGTTCTGCAGGAAAATCCAAATCTTCGAAGTCAAATTGAACAGATGCTTGCTCATGGTAATACCCGTCCTGCCGTTCGCTCTGTGCCGATCATACCCGCTAATGCCCCGATTGTTATCATTGATGATGATACTGGGATTACCACTGATGCTTCTCAGTCACATGGTATCCCTATATCACGTTCGCGGGAAAGATATACCCATGGTAAATATTTAAGTATGTAAAAAAATAAAAAATAAAAATTATTTCTTTAAATTAATTCTTTTTTTGTGACAAAATCTTAGGTACGTATTCTCGAGATATTAATGTTCCCGTAGAAACACAACAATTACCAATTTTGCGAAAACCTATTCCAATTTACCCCGTGACCATGCATAGAAATCATGTGACAACCATGCAAGTCTCCGAAATGGATTCTCCTAATATGTTAAATAATAAAACAACCTTACCTCCAATTACTGAATTGAATCAACAATTTGGCCATATTTTTAATACACATAATTCTCATAATTCTTCGCAAAATCGTATGGCTTTACCAACACCTAATCGAACTTCCCGAAAAAAAAACTCAATGTCAATTGTTAATGTATCTTCGGGAATTGAAGTCTTACTTCCTCCCGCTCCGGATTTAGAAAACCCACTTGACTCTAATGCAATGTTGATAGATAATCAACATCCGATTAAACTACCTCCTTTAAATCTTCCTGCTGTTCAGGAAAAAATTTCAACTTTCGCTTCATTACCATCACCATCTCAAAAAACAAACGATTTTTACATGCTTAAAAAATATCAGGATTATTACAACAATCCTCCTACTCCAACTGATTCAACTGCGTCTACCCCATCGTCACCCCGTAACGCTCCAAATTCGGATAGAGCGACTAATCCTCTTTTATCACACCCAGTGACATGGGGATATTAATTTTTTTTTTAAAAATCAAAAATCAAATAAATTAGAACCGAACATAATTCTATAAAATCGATTATAGTAAATTTCGTTTTCGTTATATTACGTATTTAATTATTTTGATATACTAAATATACTATATTCTCGTGATAACGATTTTTTTTTTTTTAATGCCTCCCTCCCATCCCACACTTATGATAAGTTTTCTCGTAGATTTTTTTTTAAAAAGAAAAGAAAAAATTAAAAGTATGTATATAATATATATAGAAATTTCCCATGAAAATATTATTTATGCAATTAATTTAGTTAAGTATTACTTCCCATTATATTAATTATGATGAATTTTTTATTTATTATTTTAAGTATCAAAAGCTTTATATCTTTTATTTAATTTTTAATATTTCAAAAAAATGCTAAAAATATATAAATTAATCATTTTATATAATATAAAATTTTATTAAAATTAAGTATTTAAATTATTATATTATAAAATTATTCTATTTTAGTATATTATATATATATAAACTTTTTAAAATTTTAGAATAAATTATTTTTATAATTATAAAAAATATATTTTTATATATAAAAAATATTAATTTTTAATAATAAAATAAAATTAATTTTATATTACCAGTGATTAATTTNAAAAAATTATATATATACAAACTATACAATTTATGATAATAATATTATTTATTATTAAAAAAAGGAAAAAAAAAAAAAGAATTTTTTTAATCGTGTATAAAAAAAAGTATACAAAGCATTGCTCCAAAAGCTATATTTTTTTTTTTTTGTGAAAATTATTTTATTTCATTATTTCCATTATTGTACTGTTGTAAAGAATGTTCTGGAAGAACTTATGAGTTTATCTGATCGGACATACAGTATTAAAAAAAGGTCAGATCTGATAATTAATAAGGTATATTTAAATAATTAAAACACTTTTAAAATGTTATTATTATTAAATATTATTATTAAATGAAATAACCTTTTGATGGTATTAAATTTATCAATAAATTCATCAGTCTTGCTAATTCATCATTCTTGCTATTATTGATGGATATTGGAAATATAAATTTTCGTATTTGTACTTACAGTACAGAATTTTTTTGGTATGAAAAGAAATTATTCAAAGTCGCGTGTAGAAATTTGAACCGAAATTATTGAATAGTAATCAATGTCACGAATAGAAAATTTGAACCGAAATTATTGAATAGTATTCGATCCTAGCTATTTTAGAATTTCATCCTATGAAAAAAATCCCTCCCTAAAGGTTTTTAATCGGATGATCTTTCCTGACTTGTTACTATTAGATTACGTTTTACTGGTTTCGGTCACGATCACGTGGTATTACATCATTTACCACTTCAGTATACGATCATCAATCTCCAAAATGCAATAAAAGAAAAATTTTTCCTCATTTTCTTACTTTATAAATTTTGTAATATTTTTTATAGAAATTAAAAATATTGATATTAATTATTTTATTCTTGTATTTATTTTAAAATGGCAACGTTAAAAGACATTTTAAAAAATATTTCGACCGTAGTTAACTCATCAAATGCAAACGTTCAACCTATAATAGATTCGATTGAAAATTTTATAACGACACAAGAATCTAACGTCGAACAACAAAAAGCTGATAAAATTAAAAAAATTTCTTCAGAATTACTTCAATTATATAATACTATAAAAGATTTTCCAAATAAATTTTGTAGTTTTCTAAAATGTTTAAAAGCTTTATTACCCATATTAGGACCTGATATTATAATATCTGATTGGTGGAATAGTGTATTAATTCATGTATTACATTCACCTTTACAACCAAAGGATATTGTAGAACAAGTAAAAGGATTAGTTAAAGATGTATTAACATGTGAAACCGATAAGGTTAAGGAATTTAGAAAGGAAATACTTGAATTATATTTAAAAGAATCTAGTAGTGTAGGGATAGCTGCTGGAGGAGATGATGGAACAGTAGGAGAACAGACTCATGCATTTTGGTGTCGTAATTTAGATAGTTTATTGAGAGAATTTGGTGCTGTTGAAACAAAGGTAATATAAAATAAATTTAAAAATTATATAATATTTATTTTTATTAATTTTTATTAAATCATATATATATATATATATATTTTTTTATGTTAGGAATTTTTTATTTTATTAAATTCATATTTTGTTCAAAGTACTTATAGGCTACAAGTCTTAACATTATTTGGTGAATTTATAAGAAAACAGGTTTATATTTTATTTTTTATTTTATTTTATTTATTTTTTATTACTTTTATATTTTAATCCTTTATTTATTTATTTTTTTCCAGAATTTACATATTCATCAAATATTAGAGACTCCACTTCTTGATTCTTTATTAACCTCACTTCAGGTACCGTTCTTTTGAATTTTTAGTGTTTTTTTTAGTTGATTTTTAATAATTTTTATTTGTATATTTAAAAATTATAGCGGGATACATCCACAACTTTGATTTCCCTTTCACTAACTACTTTAATTATGTTATTACCTCATATATGTATATCTGTTACTACTTATCTTCCTGGACTGTATATTATATTTAGCAGGATTATATGTTGGGATAAACATATTTCGAGACCCGTTGATTTTCCTGATGAGATTGTGGAAAGTGATGACGACGACGACGATGATGATGATGATCAAAAAACATCAGAAAAGTTGAATGTTGTAGATTGGAATCGATGTGGTAAACTTTAATTTAAAATATGCATATTTATTTTCTATTTAATATCTTTTAAAAAAAAATTTTTTTTTTTTGATTTTTTTTTTTTTACAGATTCGACTTTTGATAATGCACCATCAAGTCCACCAAGTTGTAAGCAACTTTTTACATTTTTGTATGGAATGTTTCCATGTAATACTGTAAAATTTTTAAAAGATCCTTCTGGTTGGATTAAAGAGATGAATAATGTTCCTTTAATTGAAAAATTTGATGATGATATTATAAGAGCGAGAAGTATGGTAATAAATTAAAGACTTTAAACTTTATTTCTTTTCCATTTTATTATTTTTTTTTTTTTTAAAAAAAAAAAAATTTTATTTTAGTCATTATTACGAATTCATACACTTCACCCAAATCTTATAATGAGCGATTCAGAGAAAGAACTTTCAGATACATCAAGATGGATGAAACTTGAACCTGCTGATGTAGTTGCCGAATGCGTTAGTTATGATATGGAGAATGCTTCTTCTAATTCAAATAATTCAAATGAATTGGAAAATCTAACTAAAATAGTGTTAGAAGAAGCTGATACTAAAATAATTGAAAAGAAAACTCAAAAAGCAAGACGTCCTTCACAAGCAATTTCTATACATGAAATTATGGATGTTCATCAGGCTCTTAAAAGTGGTGCTGATATTGTTGTAGGGGATGATCCTTGGGTAAGTGGATTTTACTTAAGTCTATATCATTTTACTTTAGTTTATATCTTAAAATTAAAATTATTTTTACAAAAATTATTAAAAAAAAATTTTTAAAAAAAAATAATTTTATTTCAGGCATCCAGGATAATATCATATTCAAATTTTCTAACTGTTAATCATCCTACTTCGCCACCTGAAAATGAATCACCACCGACTACAAACACTACAAACACGCAAGCGAGTGTGGCATATTTACAACGTGAAATAATGCTTTTGAGGAATGAATTAAATTTTGAACTTTATCTTAAACAACAACATCTTCAACATATTGGTAGATTACATCGTGATCATATATTAGATAGTACAGTTGAAGCTGAAAGACAAAATTTATATAATACATGTAAAATATTAAAATCACAATTATCACAAACTCAAGCCGCGTTTGATAGACAAAAAACTGAAACTGCTAATACAAAAAAGAAACACGTTCAATGGGAGAATGAATTAAATAATAAATTGAAACAATATAAAAACGAGAAAAAAGAATGGAAGAGTGTTTTAGATAAATTAGAACAAGAATTAAGCGAATCTAAGGTAAGAAGAATCTTTAACGTATTTGAAAATATATTTACGGGTTTTTGAATGATTTAAATTAATGATTTTACTATTTCATCTTTTTTTTTTTTTAGCTTGTAATAGACGCGCAAAATAAACAAATCGAGGTGTTAAGTGCGAAGTAAGTAAATAATGTATTGTATTTACTTGTAATGGCAACGAAAATTATATGATAACTATATAATACTTTATCTTCAGATGTTTCTCACTTGAGAATCAAATCAAATTACATGAGCCCCAACTTCAAAAATTAACAGAGTACGAACACACCATTGATCAATTGACAAAACAACTTATGTTATGGTAAATAAAGAAGGGATTAATTCATAATATTTTAATATTTTTTTTTTTTTTTAATTAACGATATTAACGATCCAAAATAATTAGAAATAACATATTTATTCATTTATTTATTTTTTTTATTACAGGGAAGCTGATACGATAAAATTTCAAGAACAAAAAAGATTAATGGAGACTTTAGTAGGGAATTGGCATAAAATGGAAATGATGTTGAAATCTGGAGAACATGAGATTCAACAATTAAGTTCCACCATTAGGTAAGGAATTTTTTTCGTGAATTTCTACAAGTTTATAAAATAGAGAAGCAGTGGAGACACATAAATTGGGATGATATATATTGATTGTTTGTCTTATTTATTAGTTCGCAATCTCTTGTTATTGATGATCTAAAAATTCAATTGGAGAATTCTACAAAAAACATAGAAAGACCTGAAAAAGCGTTGGAAAAACAAGTATAATGATTTTCCTTTCAAATATGAAATATTCTTTAATTCATAATTAATTCTATTAATCGGATAATAATTTTAGATGATGATATGGTCATTTGAAAGAGATAAGAGGGATAAAGAATTCAAAAAGTTGGAAACTCAATTTGATGAAGTTAAAAAGCATAACGAAGAATTACAGGTATATATTTAGTGTGTGTGATTTTTTCATACATATTTTTTACATAATTTACTTAACATAAATATTCGTATTTTTTTTTTTGTTATTAGTCACGTATTATAGAATTACTGGCTAAAATTGAATCACTCACTCCACCTAAGATACCTAAGATCGAAAATAAAATAAGCGAAGAATTGAGCGAAAAAGTGAGTAAAGAGGTTAACGAAGAAGTGAGCGAAGAAGTAAACGAAAAAGTGAGTGGAGAAGTTAGCGAAGAATTAAGTGAAAAAGCGAGTGAAGAAGTTAGCGAAGAAGTGATCGAAAAAGTGAGTGAAAAAGTTAACGAAGAATTGATCGAAAAAGTGAGTGAAGAAGTTAGCGAGGAAGCGAGCGAAAAAGTGAATGAAGAAGTTAGCGAGGAAGCGAGCGAAAAAGTGAATGAAGAAGTTAGCGAAAAAGTGAGCGAAAAAGTGAGTGAAGAAGTGAGTGGACTCAGTGGAGAAGCGAGTGAAGAAGCGAGTGAAAAAGTGGATGAAGTGAGTGGAAAAGCGAGTGAAAAAGTGGATGAAGTGAGTGGAGAAGCGAGTGAAAAAGTAGATGAAGTGAGTGGAGAAGCGAGTGAAAAAGTGGATGAAGTGAGTGGAGAAGCGAGTGGAGAAGTGAGTGAAAAAGTAAACGAAAAGTGAGCGAAAAAAGTGAGCGAATAATGAACGAATAGCTTAATACTTAATAATTTTTGTAATACCTATAAATTAATCATAATTCAAGCTTAATAAATAACTTTGGGAGATTAATTTTAATTAGATATTATTATTATGTACATATTTGAAAAATTTAGCAGCGCTTATATTCTTTGAATATAAACTTATTACGCGTAAACTGCATTTTGCAAATCTGGATGTGTATGAGTGAATGAATAATATCATTACCAACTTTTTGAGTGTCTTGAAGCCACTATTTCTTTATCGCTTCCAAGTTCCAACTACTTATTTCAATGACTTTAGAATCTTTGGTGCTCGAGAATGAACTTGACACAGCGAAAATAATTATCTACGAAACATTTTAGCAATTACATATCTAATATCACCTCTAGACAACCCGTATGACGATAGTAAAAAAGTTTTAACTCGTCCTAGCATAGTCCTACCCTTATTGCCGAACCTTTCGAGTTCTTTCGATTCTTTTTCGAGGAACTGCTCCCGAAACATCTTTGAAAAGCTACATCAGCAACTAGAGATTGAGCTGCCAAATCCCATATTTCAATGCTATATAAAGTTCATGCCATTTCGTTAATGCTTCCCCAAGATCAAAGTAATAGCGAAGCGTTGTCTTTTTAAGATGGTATGATACGATACATCAATACTATTAATATTATCTACACTTATCCATTTAAAATGAAATTTCGTGCTTGTATGATCTGAAGTTGATTCTGATTATTAGCATTGTGCCATAGATATGTCTTTAATTTACGTACTTCAGTAATTAGGGATGTTTCGTAATTATTATAGGAAAAAATTATCCTCGTTTTTTTTTTGTCATGTAACAATATAGACGAAGTCTATCAAATTTGTTTCATGCTGATTTTATTCTGTTTAATACTTATTAACATATAAGTTATACAATGTTGTTCGAGTTTCTCCATTAATGTTCAGCTTATATATTATCCAAGGAAGAACTATCATTTGAATTTTTATAACTGCATCGTTCTTGAGTTTAAAATTTGAAGTATACGAACAAATGAGTCCGTGCACATGTGCACATGTAAATTATTTCTGGTTTCATGATCCACTGAATCGCCACAATTATAACATGGATAATTCCTCTGATTCGGAAATGAATACTATTCCTCGTAAAATTTTACCCGTTCATGAACACGTGTAGCTCACGAGCGAAAGCTTTCACCAATTTGTCTCTAATATCTGATGTGTAAATAAACAAATTTATTTTTCGTAAATAGGACTTTTAGTGACGCTGGCTTAAGCCATGATTAATGGTTTGCTCAATTCAGGTAATTCTTTGCTAGAAAGGGTCTAGGCTCTAGGGGCGTATCCCACTTGACCCTAGTTATCTGTTTCAGATTTTGATCAAATCATAAACGATAAATTCCCATTGTCTCGAATATATCTTTATTACGTTCATAACTTTGTGAGGATCGTCCACATGATCAATATCGTGAACAAGCATAAATGTGTTGCGATTATGTTGTCCAATTTGTCGAAACAATGATCGCTATGCTCTGAAATATAAAATTTTGAGAATATAAATTTATTAATGTAATTCACTTATTATTAAATAGCCTGATACCCGCTTTTCACGCGAGCCTGCTAACCACGAGTGCATTTGATGCAATATCTGATAATTTTGTTAATTTAGTTGGCTGAAATTTTTTTGTAGTAATGTCATGTTTTCCTAGTACAGGTGTGGTGATTGTTGCTGTTGAATTTTTTTATGGATTGCAGATTTTGTGACTCATGTGGTGATGACGATGATGATGATGTAGAAGACCAGGGCATTTCCTTGGTAGATTTTGATGTAAAATTTGATTGTTAATACAAATAAAACCAAAATTATGTAATTCTAAATAAAACTTTCCTTCAATTGATGTTAAAGCATCTGAAAAAAAATGAAAGATCCACGTTTTAACATTGTAGTCTGATTTTTTAATCCGCTTCCATTTGAATGGAATAATGTGGTTGGAATCTCAGTTGGTTTATCTTTAGCCATATAGTCCGAGATGATACTTTCAAATTGTGAGCCAAGATTTGTAAAAAGTACTGAATCTGATACCAAAGCTTTAGCAGAGAGAAAAAAAAGGATATTATTCACTATAATTCCTGCCAATAAGTTGATTTCTTTAAAAAAAATATAATCATAAAATACAATTTAAATATTCAAGAAATACTTAGCCCTCCCACCCACCAACCCAATCTTAATTTAATTGCGTGTTTGGCCCAGTGTAAATTTAATTTGGGAAGGTACATAACTGATTCCTTTTGAAGAATCAGTACTCAGTAGACCCAATGGAAAAACTTGCACTCCAATAAAATTACTTACTTTTTTTGATCTAATAAGCTCTCTTGCTTTCTTTATTTTTCGTTTTGAATTTGACTTTAGTAAAATTTCACTTAAGTGCCTGTAAAAGAAACGATGACCAATATTCATTTGATAATGTTCGATGTTATTTAATGCCCACCCGTCAAAATCAACGAGGGACCAATACTTTGACTTTCATTCGAAATATTTAAGACATTTTTCATCATTCATAATGTTTTAAATTGAGAAAAAGAGTGCGAAAAGGTGGGTATTGTATATTATAAATTTCAACCATATTCAAACCATTTTTACGCACTGAAATTAACATATAATAGTAAAATAATTTACTTACGAAAAATTTTTATTTCCACATTAAGAATTTTTTATGATCCGATGATTAATTACCAATATCTACAATAATTATTAACAAATTACAGTATATTATTTTACACGAAAAGGACGCGCTAACAATAAACTAATTCACGTCCCATTAGAAGATTAGATGAAACGGTAGCTAATTGGATTGCTGCCGAAGGTGCAACTTTTTTTTTCAGTAAATAAAAAAGAACAATACAAATTAATTTTGGGTAATATATTAATGTATTTTATGTAACTCATTTATTTAATTTTATTTCCCATATTTAAAAGATTTATTTATTATGTTTATTATGAATGCTTCTAGTCAGATGGTTGCGAAGTCTCATGATTCTCGTTGTACAATCTTCATTAACCTTTGTATATTCTCAAAATTCTTCCTCGTCGGTTTCTTGTTCCCTTTTATTGTCTTCTTATTCGTTGTAATCAAATTATTTGAGGAAGATGTGGCTTCCAAAATGGGCTGACCTGCTTTTACCTTGTTGTTTAACTAATCAATGGTATCTGAATCCAAATCTATCTGTTTCTCTGTAGATCTGCAAGATTCCTTGCCTATATTTATTCACCGTGTCAAACACTGCATCTTCGGTAAGCTCTTCCAATATTTCTATTTTTTCCAGTTTTATTTTTTCCCTATTAATAAAGTTATTAAATCTTTACTTTTTCTTGATGGAATTATCCAAACTCCATCGGGTCCTTCCTTCTTTATTGAATCCGCAATCGCCTTACTCAAACTTTCCTCGTCTCTAAATGATCCATCTTTCCCTCTATATATAAGTTTCGAGAGGATAAAATCATAATAACCATATTTTTCATCAATCTCATTTCCATCAGATTCTTGTCAACATCAGGTACTTATTTATAAACGAGCCATTTGTATCATTCTCGAGCCTTCCGCAGCCAGCGAGTTTACTTTCCCATTCTTTCTATATCGTTTTCTATACTCTACACATAGTCTCCTTATAATTATCTCCATTAACTTTTTCCTTGAACCTAGTGTTCTACATACAGTATATCTTCACATACTGAGTTGTATTTGTCGTATGGTAAAAAATCGTTAGTCAATTTACGTGGAGACATCCTCTTGACATTTTTAAAATTTTTATTTATAAAGTACTTAATATTTCTTAACGCTCTTTCCTCAAACTCTTCCCGTCGTAGATAGGACTTGTTGTTCATATACACCGAAAATTAGGCGCAGTATTTGACGACGATATTATAGCAAATATAATTTTTGTGTTGATTTGATTTCTATGCTTAATACTAATAAATAAATAGTATTTCACAATTTATTTGATTTTAATACATTGATTAATATGCGTTTAATTTTGTTGACCCATTAATGATACCAAATTTGTTTGACAGATGAGAATAATATCATTCATTTTTTTAATGAACTTAATTGGAAACTATTTTCAAAAATCAGAAACCTAATTTGGAAACGTTTTGTATATCGAGACTAGTTTCGCCTAAAACACTAATTTCACCGGTATGCGTTTATTTAAGATCAGCAAATATAAAGGAATTTTTTATTTAATATGATTAAATTAATACGTATAATTTTACACCGAAATTGGAAATGTATTGGTTATATTCTAAGTAAAGGTATTGGCGATGATGTGATGTTGGTGATGTTGGTGATGGTGGAGTTTCCGATGATGAAGGTATTGGTGGCTGTTGAGGTGGTGTTGAATGATTTGCCCCGTACTACAAACCTTTCCCCGTGAGACAAATTTGTCACCACAAATTCCTCCTTTAACTTCTTTCTGCCTGTGACGGATCCATGTAGACCCAGTTAATTTTAACCTTTGTCACCATTTTACCTATCAAACCTGAAGATTTACTAATCCATCAGATAAACGTTGTAGCCTGTAGGCAGAGCTATATGATTTAGATGATTGGAAATGATTAATGTATTGATGGTTGAAGAAATTTGGTGGAGATTTTGCGTCATGATTTTAATAGAAGAAGATATTAATTTACTAAAAATTTCTCGTATATGAAAAATTTAAACAAGAAATTTTTTAACTTAGATGAACATAATTACTACATAACTAATATAAATAAATTCATTTGTTAACTTCAATCTTTATAAATACTATTTTTTATTAATACATTTTTTCTTATTGTTCCATCATCATTTTCTATATATTATTTCCAAAAGGGATTTTCACGGACATAGATGAACTTATTTATATTTTGGACTTGATTAACATTATGTAAGATTTAATTACAAACTCAAATTCAAAACGCCAATATTATTATAATAAATAAATAATTTATATATATTATATCAAACTAAGATGACTGAAAACGTGAATATAACAGTTTAACGTGATCAAATAATTAGTAATAATGATTGGTGTATTGCGCGGTTGTACTTTGCATAGTACTATAGTGTCCTGAGCCGCTGAGCGTAGCCAAGGACAATTAATTTAAAAGTTTAAATTTTTCTTTCTTCCGTAAAAAAAAAATCGTTTGTTCCGGGCGTGAAAAATGCATCTTAACTTTGTAACATTAAAAAGTCTAGCTATGGTGAGAACAATAGACAATAGACAACACAAATCCCTTACGTATGTATGCAGGAATTTGTATCAGATTCGAAAAACCCATCTGTTTATATAGTTCATTTATATACAATCCTTAAATCTTTTTTTTAAAAAAAAAAATTTTTTATTTGCTCCCATTTACTTAAATAATGGTTTCGGTCAATAATTATGTATATATCCAAATATGCGTATTACAATATTAGATTAGATAACTTTTTAATGCAAAAAAAATTAGACTTTTTGATTTTGATTTTTTAATATTATTTTATTTTGATTAAGAAGAATTTTACTTTATGGTTTGTGAAAGAATTGGGAAATCTTTTTTTTTTTTTTTAAAAAAAAAAACTTTATTGTTTATATAATAATAAATTTTATTTCATATAATCAAAAAAATGTATAATCTATAATAAAAACTAAATGCATAATTGAGTGATAATAATATGAAAAAAATACATAATTGATAATAAAAATTAAAACAAAGGAAAAATATGATTAATTGGATTGATTGTAATTAATGCGGTTTACAGGAGAATTTCTTTTAACATTTTCCTTATTTTGTGACTAAATATTTATTGGAGAGGATGAAAAATATTTTATATTAGAAAAAAAATTTATTAAATAAAATATTAATAAATTTATATATTTTTGAAATATCTTACTTGTCGTGTTTTGGTCGTATTCGGCATTTTTCTTTTGGACCTTTTTCTTTTTTCCTTCTGATCGTTATCTTTATGATTTCTTGGTGTTGCGACTGTTGCGTGTTGATGATTACCATTATCTGAAATTCTACTATTGTTTTTCTCTTTTTCTATATCTTTTCTTCGATTTCTTATTTCAATATCTTCTAATAACTTGTCTATTTGACATATTGCTTTATTGATCCTCTCCCCAGTCGAAATATTTTCATCTCTATCTTCATTATCTTTATTATTTATTTTAATTTCAATTTGTTGAGGACTTTTTTTTGTATTAATGTAAATGTGGGTACCAGTCCCTTTCTCAATGGGTTTTAGGTTACGTCCATTACGACCAATCAATTTACCAATTTCAACATGGTCGGAAATTTCAATAATGGTCAAAACAGTTGAGTATCTGATGGAATCTTGCATTTGCTTTTCCATATTTATGAAGAATTTAAAGATGATATGTATTATTTTTTTTTTTTGAATTTTTTTTTAAAATGAGAACTAAAAAAAATGGAGAGTATTTATAATTTAGCAATTATTGCAAATTACAAGCAAAAAAAAAATACATCGCAAATTGCAACAAAAACATATTCCATTAACATAAAACCAACAAAAGTTTTTTATTTATTTTTATCTTTAACAAAGCCATTTTTTTTAATTAACAAAGACAATGGTTTTGATGACGAATCATGAAAAAACGATGATTTTCTCAATAACTATTTTTAAAACATGTTTATGTTTTTATTATAAAAGGTAAATCATTCACTTTTAAGCATGAAAAAAAAACCGTCATTGTTATAAAGATTTTCGTGCGATAATATAACTGATGGTCAAGACTATCACAAAAAAGGGATAGCTGGATACTTTTGTCCGGATCATCATGTCTTGCGCCACAAATTGTGTCATTAACAAACGCTTTTGTTATCAATTATCAAAAAAAAAAAAAAAAGAAATTCTCCCTATCTCGTACTACGTCTGCGTTATTGACTATCGACTATTATATAAAAAATTAATAATACTGCATTATTAACTATCGACTACTATAAAAAATTAATAATTGAAGTGTTCAATATGTTCAATTATTATAAATATTTGTTTACAAGAATTAATTAGTCTTGTAATTTATTTTCGTTACTTTCAAAAAGACATTTATTCTTATCTTTTTTTTTCTATTCTTTCATAAATATCTTATAAAATTATCTACCTTTCATTAATTTTATTTTTAAATTAGAAATTAACTGCATTAATTTTAAGTTCAATCTCGGTTCTCCATCTCGGCGATGCATGGCCCTTAGTAATTTTTTTTTAAAAAAAGGAATTTATTATTTTTCTAATTCTGGATTTTTAGTTACAATAATTATTATTTCTAAATAATTTATATTTTTATTCATAGAAATTTAACAAGCTAAAATTGATTCGTATTTTACGTATTATAATTATTTCGCTATTACTTGTTAGTCAATTTTTTTGTACTAGATAATGAAATAGTGACGCTCTTCATAATAATTAGATAACAAAGACATAATCTGATAGATTTTTAATATTATAAAAACTACTGTAAATTCTTAATAGGTAATACACAATATATGTTCTAATTAATTTCGATAAATAAAATTAGGTATCATATCATCATTCTAAAAAATTCCTTATAATAGTATCTATCTATATAATAAAAATAAATAATAATAAATACTACAAAATTCTTTCATAATTAAATGTATGAAAGTTGTATGAATTTTATAGTTTTGTTTTACCTATCTGAGAGTTATTACCACCAAATGCACCAATGTTGATGTGAGCGTATATTGTACCATCATCTAATCATCTATCGTCAATTTATAGATCCACAATGGACGAGGAAATGGGAAAAGGATTATAAATGAAAAGTCATGATGAATTGATTGGAAATGATGGAGTATATAGAAAGAGGACTGGAATCAATAATTTAATGTACCTACACACAAAACATCAACAGGTGAAAATTTTGTAGATGCATTACCAAGTCCCTTTCTACGATCCCAAGAAGTAAAGAAGAACACGAAGAACTAGATGATGAATAACAAATTTAAAGAACGATTGGATAATTTGAAAACAAAGCAAGATATTTCAAATGAAGAAGGAACATCAAGTAAAGAAACAGACAAGATTAACAAAAATAAGAAACGCATAGTGACAGTGCAGGGACGAAGGGAAGATTCTGACAGCGAATAAACAAATTTGTCCCAATAAATTTAACAAATTTAAGATCAAAATTTTGTAGATATACGTTTGGAATTGGTTGAAGATTACAGGAGGACGATAAGAGATTTTTGCCCCTTTTTGGATACATTTCCGTCAAGAGCGTAGATTTATGAATTTTTTCTTAATGTTTTAAGTTTTCTTATTTTTAATTTGGTTTGTTTTGTTTGTTTTTTTTTCATTTTTATTTTGTTGTTTTACAAGGATTAAGATGTTTATTTTTAGTATTAATCAACGAATTTATGCCTTTCTGTTAGAGAAAATCTTCAAAAAGATAGGATAATATTGAAAAATCAAAAAAACTTTTAGATTAGTAATGTTTTTTTTAACAAGATAGTTTTCGAAAATTAACAATATTTTATTTTTAGAAATTTATCAAAATTTTAGATAGATCGGTTATTTATAGAGAGTAATATTTTTATATTATTTTCTAGTAATTATGTAATTTTTAACGAGCATAATTAATGAACGCATTACTAAAAAAAAAAAAAAAAAAATCTAATCATCTATCGTCCTTTAAATTGTTGTGAACACAATTTGTGGCGCAAGACCCGGTGATCCAGACAAGCTATCACTTTTTTGTGAAAAGAGAACAATTACCTTTTATAATAAAAGATGATTTAAAAATAGATTTTTTTTTCATGAATTGTCTTTGTTAATTAAAAAAAAATGGTTTTGTTAAAAATAATAACAATATAAAAATTTTATTGGTTTTATATTAATAAAATGTTTTTTACGATGTGTTTTTGTTTATAAATTTGCAAAACTGCTAAATTATATAAATACTTCCCCTTTTTGAGTTTGCTTTTTCAAAAAAATTCATCAAAAAAAAAAATCATACATATTTTTTCCTACTTTATTTTTAATAATAATAAAAAATACAACAATATATCATCTTTAAATTCTTCATAAAAATGGAAACAAAAATGCAAAATTCCATCAGATATTCAACTGTTTTGACCATTATTGAAATTTCCGACCATGTTGAAATTGGTAAATTGATTGGTCGTAAAGGACGTAATCTAAAACCCATTGAGAAAGGGACTGGTACACACATTTATATTAATCCAAAAATAAGTCCTCGACAAATTGAAATTAAAATAAATAATAAAGATAATGAAAATAGAGATGAAAATATTTCGACTGGGGAGTGGATCAATAAAATGTCAAATAGGCAAGTTATTAGAAGATATTGAAATAAGAAATCGAAAAAAAGATATAGAAAAAGAAAAAAACAATAGTAGAATTTCAGATAATGGTAATCATCAACACGCAACAGTCGCAACACCAAGAAATCATAAAGATAACGATCAGAAAGAAAAAAGAAAAATGTCCAAAAGAAAAATGTCGCATACGACCAAAACTCGACAAGTAAGATATTTCAAAAATATATGAATTTGTTAATATTTTATTTAATAGTTTTCTTTAAATATTTTTCATCTTCTCTGATAAATATTTAGTCACGAAATAAGGAAAACATTAGAAGAAATGATCCTGCGAATCACACGAATTACAATCAATCTAATTAATCCATTTTTTCTTTTTTTCATTTAATTTTATTTATTATTAATACTGTAATTGTAAACAGAATTAAATAAAGAGTTCCCATATTCTCTACGAAATAAAATAAAAGCCGGTCTTTACATTTTTTTAAAAAATTTTATGTTACAAAGATCTAAATTTTATTTGACCGGTCTTACTTCTCAAGTTCATCTATTTAAATAGGCTGCTTCCAATGAATAACTTTATTTCCCTCTCCAATTTTCTTAGTCTAACGAAACTACTTGTCCAGTTACTCCTCAAGGTAACATCTATTAAAATTTATATTAACAAGAAAAAAGAAAGTCCCCCATTTATGCAAGAAATCAATTAAATAATTAAATGAAAAAATATTTCTCAATCTAAGATTTGTTTCTTCTGCTAATAATGTACATAATGAATAAGTCGAAAGTTGAAACTTTACCGACAACAGCAAATTTGATCAACGAAGATTTACCAGAAAAATTTCACAAACCATTTTAAAGAGAAGCACAAGAAATTGAAACAAAAAACATAATAGACTATAAAAAGAAGATAGTAATAAGGAATAATAACTCAATATAGATAAGTTTATATCAACTAGGAAACGGGAACCGTTGTAAGTCCGGAACGAAAACTAAAATTTTGCCGATTTCATTGGGTGACGATCACGTGGCGGACAGAGAAACTCACGTGATCGATTTTTTTTTCATAGTGCGTAGACATATATTGTCCTTCGCTTCGCTCCGGACAATAAAAAAAAAAATTATTTTTAAGATTTTTTTTTAAAGTGCTATTTTGAAGTACTGTATATAAACTAAATGTGCTTCTCATTGGATTTCGTTCCCATTATCTTTACTATTAATAAAAGAATTTGACATTAAAAAATAATTTTGTTTTATCAATTATCCATATCTTTTTACTTAAAATAAGAAAATAAGCACCTTATTATAGGAAAATCAAAGAAGCAAAATAAAAAAATTCTAACTTACTTTAAAGGACATTTCTGATTTTTCACAAATAATTTTACGTCACACAAGGTATGACGTTTTAATAAAAGTACTTATTGAAAGAAAATATTAATCATTTAAAAAGTATATTTTAAATTTTCTTTTTGTTTTCCGAAAATTCACAATATAAATAATTCAGGTTATGGTTAAATTTTTTTGGACGAACCAAGTTTCCTCATTTTAAACGCTTTGCTCTTTTTTTGTAACAAGTAATAAGACAATACTACGAACTGTATAAAGACATTATTATATTATGATAACGTAATTAGTATAAGGTAATTTGACCTTTAAAAAAACATAATTAAATTTTAATAAGGTCGGTACGAATGGATATGATGATAGACTAAACTATAATTATATGCCTGTATCGATAAAAAACAAAAAAAAAAATCTAATAACTATAAAAAAAATAAAAAAAAAATACAGAAACTAAAAACTATAAATAATATAGCCCATCCTTCCGGAAAAGTCTCGTGGTTGCAACTTACAATAAAAACTCTTTTCCCTTGGATCTCTCAGGATCTGCAAGTAGGTGTAGTGGAAAATCTATTTGTCACACCCACCCATTGGATGTCACAAGTGTCACTATATATATTTCTTACGCCACGTTGCCGTCGTCATCACGCCTCCACCTTCAAAGGTCGAAAATATCAGACTTTTTTCATATGCCCACCTTCTTCATAAAAAAATTTACATTTTGCAAAGAGCACTATTGTACTGGCGCTTGATACTCTCAAAAGAAATGTAAAAGTGAAAAAAAGACAAGTACTTAACTCTTATAGCTAATGATCAACAAGAAAGTTGTATTATTATAATTTAGTGATACCATCAACATTTCGGACGCTCTAATTGTGCTTCGACCCGTATCCGGATCAATCCGGATTGATCCGAATTTTTTTTTTTTTTCGGATATCCGGATTATATCCGGATCGATCCAAATTGTGAATCCGTATCTCATAACCCGGATAGAAACCGGAATCCGGATTGGATTTTTTTAAAAATGCAGATTACAGAGATGCATAAAAGCTCATTCAAATCGTCTCATTGAGACGGGTCAAATGGCGCTAATTTCATCCTTACACAATCACTGGATGCCGAGATATTCAACCAAATGTCAAAATCGGCATTTTTTATTTTACGATACTGCGCCATTTCACGTTTTGCCGAATATCTCGGCAACCAGTTATCATATAGAGATGTACAATAGCTCATCCGAATAGTTACATCAAGACGAATCTAATGAGCTTCAGATCATCTTTCTATGACCACTGGATGTCGAGATATTCAACAAAACATCAAACATCGGCACTTCTCATTTTTGTGATACTGCGCCATTTACATTTTGCTAAATATCTCGGCATCTAGTGGTCGTACAGAGATGCATAATATCTCATTAGAATCGTCTCGTTGCAACAAATCGAATGGTACTAAGTTCATCTTTCTACAATCACTCTATACTGAGATATTCAGAAAACCGTAAAATGGCACAGTATCGCGAAATGAAAAATGCAGATTTTGACATTTTATTGAGTATCTCGACATCCAGTGGACGTAGAAAGATGATCTAAAACTCATTAGATTTGTCTTGATGCAACTATTCGAATGAGCTATTGTGCATCTTTATACGATCACTGGTTGCCGAGATATTCGACAAACATAAAATGGCGCAGTATCGTAATTTGCAATATATAAAATGCCGATTTTTGATGTTTTGTTGAATATTTCGGCATCCAGTGATTGTATAAGGATGAAATTAGCGCCATTCGATCCGTCTCAACGAGACGATTCTAATGAGCTATTGTGCATCTCCGTAGCTCGCAATTAAAAAAAATCCAATCCGGTTTCCGGTTTCTATCCGGATTATCTGATCCGGATTTAAAATCCGGATCGACCCGGATATAATCTGGATTTTTTTTTTGTGTAATCCGGATGACGGTTTTCATCCGGGTCGAAGCACTACGCTCTAACGCCTAATTAAATATATCTGGCTGAAAATTGGTGCTACACAAACAACTATATATGCTCGAATAAAAAGAATTTCAATTAATTTTAACATCTCTTGTACTTGTTGATAATCTTATTGTAAAAGTATGTCCTGGACTAACAATTTCTTGTTCAGAAAGTCTCAAAGTAACGATAAAGGTAAAAGCATATAACATGAATATAGATATCTAATACAAATTGAAATTGCTCTAAAATTTTTCCAAACCAAATTTGCAATATAATGAAACTAGTTTCAAAAATTGAGAAAGATAAAGAAGATGAAGGTAAGAAAATTAGCTTGTAAATTATAAACATATAATTTAAATTTTTTAAACTATTTCTAAAAATTATTTTACTATATTAGCTCGTATATTAGCTCGTAAGTAATAGGTTATCTTATAATCGGAATGATAATTAAATTACTTACTTCTATTATTTTATATAACCAAATAATTTATTTTATTATTAATATTATTATAGTTAGTAAGTTAATAGCTATTTTTTTTTTATTGTATTTTACATGATATTTTAAATAACTAAATTTTCTATTGATATAATTCTTTAATAATTACTAATATTATAGAAAGTAAGTATTTAATTTTATATTAATTTAAGAGTATTTATAATTTAAACTAATAATATTATTTATTTAAATAATTAGATTGTAAGTTACTGTATATACTTAATTTTTATATACAATTATAATATTTTATCTAATTGATTATAATTACTTTACTTTATAATTATTATTAATTAATAATACTACAGGGTGTAAGTTATTTGTTTAATATATTATATTTACATATAATTTAAACTAACTAAATTCTTTATTTAAAAAATTATTTATTTAATAATATAGGGAGTATGTTATTTATTTAATTCTATTATATTTATATAATATTTACATATAATTTAAACTAACTAAATTCTTTATTTAAAAAATTATTCAAATATTTTAGAACGTAAGTAATTCTATTATATTTATATAATATTTACATATAATTTAAACTAACTAAATTCTTTATTTAAAAAATTATTTATTTAATAATATAGGGAGTATGTTATGTAATTAATTCTATTATATTTATATAATATTTACATATAATTTAAACTAACTAAATTCTTTATTTAAAAAATTATTCAAATATTTTAGAACGTAAGTAATTCTATTATATTTATATAATATTTACATATAATTTAAACTAACTAAATTCTTTATTTAAAAAATTATTCAAATATTTTAGAACGTAAGTAATTCTATTATATTTATATAATATTTACATATAATTTAAACTAACTAAATTCTTTATTTAAAAAATTATTCAAATATTTTAGAACGTAAGTAATTCTATTATATTTATATAATATTTACATATAATTTAAACTAACTAAATTCTTTATTTAAAAAATTATTCAAATATTTTAGAACGTAAGTAATTCTATTATATTTATATAATATTTACATATAATTTAAACTAACTAAATTCTTTATTTAAAAAATTATTCAAATATTTTAGAACGTAAGTAATTCTATTATATTTATATAATATTTACATATAATTTAAACTAACTAAATTCTTTATTTAAAAAATTATTCAAATATTTTAGAACGTAAGTAATTCTATTATATTTATATAATATTTACATATAATTTAAACTAACTAAATTCTTTATTTAAAAAATTATTCAAATATTTTAGAACGTAAGTAATTCTATTATATTTATATAATATTTACATATAATTTAAACTAACTAAATTCTTTATTTAAAAAATTATTCAAATATTTTAGAACGTAAGTAATTTATTATATTGATATAATATTTACATATAATTTAAACTAACTAAATTCTTTATTTAAAAAATTATTCTATAATTTCTTTTAGTTGGTAAGTTATAAGTTATTTATTTAATTCTATTATATTTATATAATATTTACATATAATTTAAACTAACTAAATTCTTTATTTAAAAAATTATTCAGATATTTATGAATGTAAGTAATTTATTATATTTATATAATATTTACATATAATTTAAACTAATTAAATTATTTAAAAAATCACCCAAAATATTTTAGCCTGTAAGTATTGCATTTTTTAATTATAATAATCCTATATTTTTTATATTTAGTTTATTATAATTATATATTATTTACTCATAATAATTAAATCTTTTAGTTGGTAAGTTATAAGTTATTATATACTGTACTATTTATTTATAATCTAATTAATTAATTATTTATTATATTAAAATCTTATAATTTTATTTAGAGTAAGTATAATTAATATTGTTTAATATTTATAATTGTAAATTTTATTTAAATTTTAATTTTTAATATAATTTCATTTTTATATTTAAAGATTTGGTACTAGTGGAAGTAAAATTGTTAATCAATTTATTTCTAAAAATCAATTAAAATGGATTCCTTATGATAAATTTGAAAATATTGAATATTTTGATAAAGGAGGATTTGGTACTTTATATAAAGCTACATATAAAAATACTGAAGTAATTCTTAAATATTTTGATTATCTTAATAATTCAGATGAAAATTTAAATGAATTTTTAAATGAAGTATGATTAAGTATTATTTTTTTTAAAATATTATAATTTATCTATACTAATTAACTAAATATTATTATTTGTAGTGGAAAATTATTGAAAATTCATATAAAATTATTAGAATATATGGATTTACAAAAGATCCAGATACTTTGAATTATGTATTATTAATGGAGTATACAAATAAGGGCAGTTTAAAAAGATGTTTAACAGAAATAACAAAAAATTGGGAACAAAAATTATTTTGTTTATATCAAATTATTAGAGGTCTTAATGATATTCATAAAAAAGATCTTATTCATTATAACTTTCATAATGGTAATATTTTATGTAACAAGTATGGAGAAAATATATATGGAATTTTCATTAGTGATTACTTAGGATTATATCAACTTGCAAAATCTTTTTTAAAAGAAAATAATATCTATGGAGTTTTGCCATTTATAGCACCTGAAATTTTAAGAGGTCAACCTTATACTCAAGCTAGTGATATATATAGTTTTTCTATAATTATGTGGGAATTTGCATCTGAAATTCTACCATTTAATGATAAAGCACATGATCTTCAACTTGCTTTAAGTATTTGTAAAGGTGAACGTCCTGAAATTATTGAAAATACTCCGCAATGCTATATAGATTTAATGAAAAAATGCTGGGATGAAAATCCATTAAAAAGGCCATCTTCTAAAGAAGTTTTAAATATTATTAAAAATTGGATTTTTCTTCCTTATAATAAGGAAATTGAAGATATTAATGAAGAATTAAAAAGCAATATTATGGAATTTATAAATGCACCAATTAAACATAATAACCTTATTGTAAAATCTCATCCAAAAGCATGCTATACAAGTCATTTACTTGATTTTACTAGTGAAGAATTAAATGGAATTCTAGAAGGTTTACAAGGATATCTTAAATTAAAACAAAAATATCAAAGTTCTCAAAATGAATTACAAAATATTCAAATGGAATTAGTTAATTTACAGCAAAACTCAACTCTACAAAATACCCAAATTGCAAATCTGCAAAATGAAAAGCAAGTTTTAGATAGTAAGTTGACTGAACAGTTAAAACAAATCAGTCAGTTAAATCAAGAAAAAAATAATTTGCAAGATAAATTGGTCCGAACAGAAACCATTATTCAAGAATCAAAATCTCAGCAAAATCAATTTAAAAATCAATTAATTCAAACAGAAGAAGAAAATCTTAAATTAGAAAAGATTGCTGAAACTTATTATCAAAGTTCTCAAAATGAGTTAGTTAATTTACAACAAAGAAATTCTCAATTTAAAAATCAATTAATTCAAATAGAAGAAGAAAATATTAAGTTAGAAAATGATTTCTTTGATTCACAACAAAGGAATTTTAAATTTGAACAAAATAATCAAAATCTGAGGCTTAACTTAGCTGAACAAATTAAAGAATTTGCAGAAAAAGAAAATATTTTACAAACCCAAATTATTGATCTGCAAAATGAAAAGCAAAACTTAGCTGGCAATTTAACCAATTTAACTGAACAGTTGGAACAAAATAAACTAACTAACCAGCAAGTTCAAGATCAAATCAGCCAGTTAAAGCGAGAAATAACTAAATTGCAAGAAAAATTAGCTCAAACAGAAGCTATTATTCAAGAATTAAAATCTCACAAAGAAAGCTTAATTGAACAAAAAGAGCAATTGGAAAATAGATTAAATCAGTTTCAAGTTAATTATGAACAAATAGAACAAGAAAAAATCAGGTTGCAAAATATGGTGAGTGGTCTTTCACAGGATCAAAAGCTTACTATAAAATTGAAAGTCAAGTTAGAAAAAGAAATTGATCAATTGGAACAAAAATTGTTCATTGAAGAACAAATCAAAATGCAATTAATTCAAGCTTTACAGATTAAACAAGATAAAGTAAATGAATTAGAACAAAGACTAATTAACCTTGATCAAGAGCGTATTAAAAAGCTACAAGATAAAAGAAAAGAATTAAGTGAAATTGAAGAGGAATTATTAAATAAATTAACTAGTGGAAAAAATACTAAGGAAATCCACAAAGAAAAAGATGCTAAACAAAAGGAGTTGAATGAACTCCAACAAGAATTATCAAAAACATCAGCTTCTTATAATGCCAATAGAAAAAAACAGGTTCTCAATCAAACCAATGATTTTCTGAAAGTTAAGGATAATTTCCTAACTTTACGAGAAGAAGCTATTGAAAAACTACAAAATTGCTGTAATCATCTAGAAAGTTCTATTAATAAGGAAAGAAATACTATTGGTTCTGTTGGAGATATGAAAATCTCTAAATTGACTGATAAATACACTAAAGAATTTCAAAATATTCTTGTAAAATATAATGATGGATTGTTAGAGTTGAATAAAAATTATTATTCCTTAAAGAAAATTGTTCAGAAAAATAAAGAGTTGGAAAATAGCCTCATAATTGAAAATATTCTTAAGTTGAATTCTTTTAATCTTGATAATTACAAAATTTTTAAATTTGCTACTAATTCTCAGGAAGGAATCAAAATTCAATTAAATTCTAATATGATGGCAGAAGATATAAATTCATTGAGAAAAAATTTGAATGAATTGAAATTAGAATTAGATCAAGAAAAAAAAGAATTAAAAAATTTAGCAACAGTTTAGATTTAACCATATTGATGGATTATAGTACAGTTCATAAATAGCTAATTCATCATTGAAATGAAAATAGGTATTGTATTTAATAAAATATATGAATATATATTCTAGAATTTATTGAACATTATAGCATAGTTCTAGGAATTTTGAGATTTTTTTTTTATTAAATTATAACTATATTTTATATTTTTTTTTGTTTTGTTTATCAAAAGGTTTCAATAAAGGATAATTAAACTTTTTTGAGAGTTCTTTATATAAGTCATTTAAATAACCATTTTTATTATACTTATATATTTAAATTAATTTCTGAAAAGTCAATTTAAAAAATAATAAACAATATCAATTCACCAATGTAAAATTAGCTATATGTTTATTCAAAAGTATTATTATAAATATATACTTGATAAGAAAGTCATACATATGGCTTTAATAATATTTTTAATTTAAGTGCAATAGATTCTTTGATTTTTTGGTAAAGTAATTTTCTTTTTGAATCTTATCAACAACTATAATTGATATTCCATAAAAGCCTTCCTTGCATTTTGCCCAAAATTCTCACACTTGTTTCACTATGAGATTTTTTTCATAATCTTAGTTAAGCAGGATTATTTCTATTAAAATTTGTACATATCAAAACAAAATAGAAAAAAACAGATGATGATAAAGTTAGCCTTAAATAATAGTAAGTACTAACTTACTCTAATACTGTAATGCATAGCCAAATTCTTAACATATTATAACCTGGCTTACTCTAGCCTTAATCCAAACACATATCCCAACTATTTTACAATATGATGGAATGTTGTTATATATTTTCGTTTTTCTTCATGAACTTGTCAACTAGAACAAATTGAGTCAGTGTAGAATTAAGGATAATTTGGTTGAGGTTATCTTAAGGTATTTGATTTTGTGAGTAATAATAAGAGTTTCTCTGTGTACATAGTTATAACTAATTTGATCTTGAGTACTAAGAGGCAAGTCTAAATAGTTAATTATAGGGGCGAAAGAGATGAGTTTTTAAAAAATTTATTGAAATGTTTACTTGCTAAAAAAAAGTTTGCCCATTTCCTTAATAGTAAATTCATTGCAAGTAAAAATTCTTTGATGTTATTTTAATGAATTGTATTGGTATTAATAAAATTTGTACTTTTATTGTATCCTCTTTGTGGGAAATCTATTTTAATTGGTTCAAATTATTATACACATCATCGAAGAATTGGGATATTTTTGGTGATATTGATTGTGAGGTCCCTATTGTTCATACAATAAAGAATGATGCATTGATAATTGACTATATATTACAAGTTACTTATTAGTCATTTGAAAATTGATTGATATAATAAAGAAAGTTTGCAATATTAATATGCAGTATATTTTCATATTTAGTACATTTGGTACTGTTACGCGATAAAATGCACATCCGATGTTCGACGTTATTCGATGTTTATATGACGATCCGATATAATTTGTGTCCATGTCGATTTCTATCATTACATAACGATTTATGACCGCAGGTTGTGTACATTAAATTAGCCATATAGATAATATTCTTTATTTTATCAATTTTATTATTATTTTTATTATTAGTTTTACATATGTAGCGATAGAATAATCATATATTACAATATTGTTTATATTATTATTATATATTATTTTATTTATTGTCTATAACTGTATTTTTAAAGATTATTGATGTATATTGATGTATAAGATCTATAATAAGAGTTAATGAAGGATAATTTGATTAATAATAATCAACTGATAGAATTTGTCATTCGTAACTTATCAAAAGGAGGGCTTATAATGGTTATTTTTATTACTATTATAGTAATTAGCCATATTACCATGAAACATATTCCATTATGTGTTTAGAACCTATCGGTAGATTAGATTTTGATATGATAATAGATGGTGTTGGAAAAAGAGATGGAGAATAGATATAAATACCTTTCACCAACTCGTTGATAAAAGTAGTCAGTACCGAAGATTGTATTTTATCAGCTATAGTAGAAATCCTTTTCCTATCACTTTTTATCATTTATTATCGCTTCGTTGTAAACCCTTAATCCTATCACTTCATAACGTTATTAATAAAACCGTTATACATCGTATCGTTATTGTTGTTCCTGTGTGTTTTGATATATTATTCATTTATTACTCGACGTGTGTTATCATTATCGTATTTTGTAGGTGTTTATCTCGACGATTCTTAACGAACAATACCGGATAAGTAGTATTGAGTAAGAATCCCGTTGATAACCTGGTGTTTATATGACTTATTTTAACCAACCGTCGACCTTTACTTGCCGATATATTTCGGTAACAGTACATTGAAATAAAATTACGTCATACATTATAGATTTACTCAACTTTTTTGCTTCTCTTTCTTTCTTACTTTTAATAGAATAATTATAAAATAATATGAAATTTAAAATTATTTATAATAAAAGTTTAGGTTCAAAATTTTTGAAGGCTGAGCGGTTCTTCAGATTAATGCAGAAACTTGTTGCCAACAATTTTATTTATTTTATTTTTAAAAAAAATAATGTATAAAATTTATGTTTAAAAGTTATTGTTTTTAATATATTATAAAGAAACTCATATTATACGTTTTCAACCAGTCAGAATGATAAGAATTATCAAATACTTACTAATGAATACTATTATTTTATGTTAACTTTTTTAAAGCCTTTTAAAAGAAGGTACAAAAATAGTGGGTTGACACTGGAGATATATGCAATTTTACGAGAGGAAAAAGTTTTTCTAAACTCAAGACGAAACATTTTTGCGTAAAATGCAAAAAAATTGAATTTTTACTATAAAAAGAAGTAAATAATTGTGTAATAAATAATATTTGATTATTTCCACTAGTTAACAATATGTTTTGTATTTACAACTCTCTTTAAACTTTATTTGTTGGCTTTAATATTATTTTGGTCTCTACTTATTACTAAATATATTTTTATTAGGCGTTATTTTTTCCCTTCTTTTATTATGAATCTTTTTCAGTTATGGAAGATGCAGATTTTTTATCATAGCAATAAGTGTTTAAATTACTGTGTTAATTGTTATATATATTATATATTTATATTTTGATAATGATTTGTATTATTTTTTTATCAAATAATCTGATAATGATAAAAATATGTACTTTATTTAATTTTTCATTTACTATTACTTGCCTTTATTTTAGATTATATTTTTATTCATGATCGGGTGAGTTTATACTTTCATTTTTTTATTTTAATTTCATCGCCATTCCCACTTTCATTTCTTAAATTATTGAATTGGCATTTCAGCAGACATAATTTTTTAATTTTTTTATTCGTAATCAAATCTTAATTTTTTTCATTTATTTTGATTTCGTCTCTTTTCTTACTTTGTTTATCTTTATACTTTCATTTAAACGCCTTAAAACAAACTTAAAATTTCTGAAGTATTCTTAATAAAAAATAAACTGTTCCCACCCATAAAATTCATACATGAAAATCCGAGAACAAATGTCCTTAAGTAAAGTTCTGAAATGTTTCTAAAATATTCTTAACAAAAAAAAAAGAAAATTAGTTAAGAAAAATAATACTCCCTGCCCATAAAACTTATATCTGAATCATATAAATGTAAATTGTTAAATTATCGTATAACACTTACAAATTTCACAATGATGTTATTTTCAGGTTAATGAGTTACAGAAATTATACTTCGAGTCAATACATCACCGGGAATAGATTTAATTCTTTGGAATACTTTAATATTGAAACTAATAACTTTCATAATAAACGCTATCCATCTGCGAGATAAAAACTATTCATGTGATAAAACTGATAAAACTTTAACTCGAATTTTCTGATAATAACATAATATTTTTATTTACTTTAATATTTAATTTAATCAAATATGAACGATTACAATTTATTCCTAAAAAATTTAATGAATTATGTAATACTGTTCGCTCTGTATAAAGTAAAAGGAATGGAAGAAATTCTTGATGGATACAACCCTTTAACATGTTAACGTGATAACCTTCACGAACAGTTATATTTTTTATTTAAAATAAGAATATTGAGTACAATTATTAGTAATATAGAAAAAGTTGATTGTGCATTGAATTATACTCGTCAACATGATATTGCTTCTAGTGATTCTACAGATAATTGTAATATTCTTTATAAAAAAGTTGTTCTGTTAAATGAGAATTAATAAAATTCTTATACTTTTGTGATATTTTAATTGCGAACAGTATTTTATTACAAATAAAAAGAAATTAGAATCGACCGCGTACCGAATCTAAGTTTAATGACGTGATAATTTGCGGTATTCGACAATGTTTTGGCACAAAATTTTGTTTTCATGATCGGTTATCAGTTTAAAAAATTTTCTGATTTTAAATATTCTATTATTTTTAATTGGTTTGAATTTTTAATCCTCTCATTTCATTATCATTAAGGATGGTCAGTCGGTCTTTCGGTCCTGGACGGTCTTTGGGAAAGTTATAAGGAATGCACCCTTGAATTTTTAAGGCGCAGCAAGTATGGCTAAAGACCAATAAATGTCAAAATTTGGCCTTTATACTTCTTTTTTTAAGACCAGCAGAGGCGAAATTGGAAAAAGACCGAAAAAAGCAAAAAATACTGATTTTGGCAAAATAAAAACCTGCCTAGCTCTAAATTGGGTGATTAGATTGAGACCAAAATTTACCACTTTTTGGTCTTTAATCAGTTCTGTTGTGCTACAAAAAATTGGAAGCACAGCCTTATTACTTTTCCAAAAATTTCCTAAAGACCGATCAGGACCGATCAAAGACCGCAGGACCGACTGACCATCTCTAATTATCATAGCCTAAAAATTTCTAAACTATTCCTCAAGAAAATCTTTTAGTAATTAGTATTTATTTAGTAACTAGTGAAACGTTAAAACAAGTTGTAGGTGACGCAATGCACATTAATATTTAATTTAAACAATTGTGGATTTTGTTAAAACTTTATTCTTTTTTTTTTAAAAATCAATATGACTACTCAATTTTTTTCGAAATTAAGTCAAAATTATATTGAATTATTGAAGGACGATGAATATTATGATATTACAATTGAAGTTGGTGAGGATCCTAACGTAAAAATATTTCGTGCTCATATGAATATTTTGTGTTACCGTTCTCCATATTTACGACGAATTTTAGCTTCTAATAAAAAGAACAACGATAACGTATTAACTCATATTAAATTACCAAATATTTCATCAGAAATATTTCAAATTATTATAGAGTAAGTAAATTTAATATGAATTATGGTGGATAATATATTATTTCTAATATTTATTAAATTTTTGTAATATAGATATATTTATGGTGGTATTCTTTCGTTGAATGAGCATGACACTTCAGATTTTCTTAAAATTTTGGCCGCCGCAGATGAACTTCATCTTCAAGAACTAGTTAATTATTTACAAAAATTTTTAATTGAAAATAAGTCAGAGTGGATAATACAAAATTTTGGATTTACTCAACAAATTAGTTCAACATCTAATAATTTATTAGACCTTCAAGAATTTTGTACAAAATTAATGGCTCAATCTCCCGAAAAAATACTTGAATCATTTAATTTTACTTCACTTTCTGAAAAATCTTTAATATCACTTATTAAAAGAGACGATTTACAAATGAAAGAAGTTGAAGTTTGGGAGAACGTATTAAAATGGGGACTTGCAAAAAACCAAACCCTAATTCCAGATCCCAAAACTTGGACTGATGATGATTTCAAAAAAATGAAAAATACCTTAGAACATTGTTTACCTTGGATTAGATTTTTTAGTTTATCATCCAAAGAATTCTTAAAAGTTCGTCCATATGAAAAGCTTTTAAATAATCAACTCTATGAAGATATATTAAATTCTCATATGGATCCTGATATTGAACCAACTGATAATATTTTACCTCCTAGAAATATTAAAGTTGAGAGAATTATTGATTCAAAATTTGTTGATTTAGTTCTTGTTTCTTCTGTTTCAAGATGGATTAATAAAACGATTATTATTATTAATGGAAAATTTGATCATTTAAGAGAATTATATTTACCATACAAATTTGAATTATTATTAAGAGGAAGTCGAGATGGATTTACTCCAAAAAAATTTCATGAATTATGTGATGGTAAACCTAATACTGTTACTTTTATTAAAGTAAAGGAAACAGAAGAGATTATTGGTGGATACAACCCTATAATATGGAAATCCATTGATTATTGTAAGGGTAAAACTAAAGATAGTTTTATTTTTTCTTTTAAAAATAAAAATATTAAAGATGCAATTTTTAGTAACGTACGAGATGCAGGTGCTGATTTTGCAGTTTGTTATTGTCGAGCCGATGGTCCATTTTTTGGTAGAGATATTATCATACGTGCTTCTAATGAATCTACAAATTATGATACAAGTTACTGTGGAAAGTTGCATTATGAAAAAATGATAAGAGATACTGGAAATAAATTTCAAATAGAAGATTATGAAGTATTTCAGATTATAAAGAGATAGTACGGTATTTTTGTGTTAGATAATAAGATAAATGAGTAAATTATTGAATTGTTTTTTATTTGGTGCATCACCTTTTCACGAATAAATTTTACTATAATAATGTTACTAAATTGCGAAAAATAATTTCTCTAATTTCGTAAGTTTATTTAAAAAAAAATTAAAGTATACTGAAACTTCTGTAGGTTATATAACCATTACATTTCTCCAAACTTGCTCAACTACGAAAAAATTCTTATCATTAAGCCGATGTTTTTACAAATCTCGTACAATTATTAACGCATTTATCGTTAGTCTCTTACATAACATTGTTTTCAGGATAATGACTGATTTTGATCAGCTCTCTATTTGAAAAGAAAAAGTTTAGGCGACTTTAACAATAAACTCAGAAAAGAAATAACAGTAACCGTTGCTTCGCATCGGGACCAATGAGTTTGTTTAAATAGAAAAATTTTTAGTATCATAATGTAATACTAAGTAAATTAAAGATGGTTACAGTAGTGTTTTGTTTATAATTAGGAATTTAATATGGATAATAATTAGTTAACAGAAAATAATAAAATAATGTGTATTAAATTATATTTACAATAATGTACTAGCTATTTATATTATGATTTGACGTTTGAGTATAAAATGATGAAATTCGGATTAATTAAGGAATTGTGAAAAAATAATTATCAATAAAAATTGATTATTTTTTTTAGAAGTATTTTCGAAAAAAACTTTAATATTATAACAATATTACAAATATTTTTATTAATTAATTATAAATTTTATAATTATTTCTTATTATTTATATTACGTCAATCTTAAAACTTATAACCAACCTAGAAAAAAAATATTTGAACAATTAAATGTATTAGAATCTGTTCATTTCATTTATTATTATTCTTTTGATATTTATTTTATTCGATAAATTATTAATTTAACTAAACCATTTGAATTTAAAATCTTTATTCAAAAATCTTGGTGATTATTTAGAGAATTTCGGATATGGATTTGGTTATAATAATTTATTATTAACTTAACAGTTTCTTCAATTAATTAATTATAAAATATTGTAAAAATATCAATTTTTTTTTTGATTTTATGAATTTAAAATCAAACTATTTATCCAGTATTCAATTTAATTGAAAATATCTTAATAATCTTTTTTATCAACGTCGGTCAATTTTCCTACGTTACATTAAAAAAATAATAATTTTGTAAATATATTTAATATAATATTTTATTTCTTTATTTAACGTTAATAATAAAAAAAATTGAAAGAAAAAGAAAAAAAAAATCAAAAAAATTTGGGGAGAAAAGAAAATAAAAGAAAGAAATCGGATTAAAAAAGGGAAATACCGAAAAAAAAGGAATCCGAAAAAAAATAAGTACCGAAAAAAATTCTGAAAAAAAAGTACAAAAAAAGTGAAAAAAAAAAATATTTTTAAGAAAAATAACAATACGGTCTAAAAAAAAAGATCGAAAAAAATAATATAAAAAAAATCGGTCTGAAAAGACAGAAACAATAGGATTATTTAAATTATTTAATAGTAATAATAAAAAAACTTCAGTTTGGGAAAAAAAAATTAAACATAAACGGGAAATGAGTGAGAAAAATTTTACAAAAAAAAATTAAAAATTAATAATCAAAAAAAAAAAAAAAATCCGATTAAGGTAATTTTTCATTAACCCACACGATCAAATAGTTTTGCACCATAAATGAGGCATGTCACGGGATTTAATTATAATTATGGCATGGGATTTCAAGTTACACAATTCAAATTATTTATGCGGAGACAAACGTCAGACAATTTTTTTTAGATTCCATCTGTTGAGATATTAAAATTTCAAAAAAAAAAGTTGCAAATCATTCACGTGATAAAGTTGCATTTGATTTTTCTGATGACGGAATAATTTTTATTTGGAAAGAATTTACATTGATCTTTAATTTAACCAAATATGTATTGATTGCATTACTAAAATAAGTAAGAGAAAAACTTATAAATTTACACAATTTTTTTTTTTTACCATATTAATTTCGATTTTTTTATAATATGTCGACACAATTTCTTTCAACACTAAGTCAAAATTATATTGAATTATTGGATAATAATGAATATTACGATATTACAGTTGAAGTTGGCAAAGATTCTAATAGAGTATTTTGTTTTCTCGTTCTCTATACTTACAACGAGCTTTGGATTCTAATAAGAAGCAGAATAAAGACAATGTTTTAACCAATATCAAGTTACCGAATATATCACCAAAAGTTTTTCAAATTATTTTAAGGTAAACTTAATATACAATAAGTATAACATGAAATTAATACCTCTAATATTTATTGAGATAATTAATATTTTAATATAGGTATATTTATGGTGGTATTCTTTCATTGAATGAACAAAATGCTTCCCAAATTTTTCAAATTTTATTGGCAGCAGATGAACTAGATCTTCAAGAATTAATTGGTTATTTACAAAAATACTTGGTTGAAAATGAATCTGAATGGATGGAACAACATTTTGAATTCATTCATCGAACAAGTTTTCAATACGATTCTTTATCGGAAATTCGACAATTTTGCAGAGATTTAACGGCAAAATCTCCAGAGAAAGTATTTAAATCACTTGATTTCACTTTACTTCCTGAAAAATCTTTAGTTCAACTCATTAAAAGAGATGATTTGCAAATGAAAGAGATTGAGGTCTGGGATCATGTATTAAAATGGGGTCTTGCACAAAATCCTACATTTGATCTTAATGACTTATCAGATGCTGATTTTAAAACAATGAAAAATACCTTACAACATTGTTTACCTTGGATTAGATTTTTTAGTTTATCATCCAAAGAATTTTTACAAAAAGTTCATCCTTATAAAAGGCTCTTAAACCACCAAGTTTATGAAGATTTATTAAATTCTCATGTGGATCCTGATACTGAACCAGCCGACAATATTTTACTTCCTAGAAGTATTAAAATTGAGAGAATTATTGATTCAGAAATTGTTAATCTAGTTCTTGTTTCAGCTGTTTTAAGATGGATTGATAAAACAGTTATCATTATTAATGGAAAATTTGATCATTTAAGAGAATTATATTTACCATACAAATTTGAATTATTATTAAGAGGAAGTCGAGATGGATTTACTCCAAAAAAATTTCATCAATTATGTAATGGTATACCTAATACTGTTACTTTTATCAAAGTAAAAGGATCAGAAGAGATTATTGGTGGATACAACCCTATAACTTGGGAAACTTCTGATAATAAGGGTAAAACTAAAGATAGTTTTATTTTTTCTTTTAAAAATAAAAATATTAAAGATGCAATTTTTAGTAACGTACGAGACACAGCAGAATTTGCAGTTTGTTATTGTCGAGCCGATGGTCCATTTTTTGGCAGAGATATTATCATACGTGCTTCTAATGAATCAACAAATTATGATACAAGTTACTGTGGATGGGTACATTATGAAAAAATGATAAGAGCTGAAGGTAAATTTCAAATAGAAGATTATGAAGTATTTCAGGTTATAAAGAGATAGTACGGTATTTTTATGTTAGTTAAATAGATAAACGAGCAAATTATTTTATTTTATTTTATTTATTTTATTTTGTGTATGATCTTTTTGATGAATAAAGTTTTACAATAATAATGTTAAGACTTGATTGCGAATAATGTAAATATTAAAAGTTAAAATACTAGTCTAGTGCTACTGTAGATTATACAATCATTACATTTCTACGAAATATTTTCTCAAATTTGCTTCAACGATTCTCTGAATCCAAAAAAAGATGTTTATGGGCAGGGATTTTTTAAAATAAATCTAATGTGATTATTCTTTTATAGTAGTAATGCCGACTTAACTGATTAAAATTGGTTTTAACATTATTATTTTAATTTTGCAATTGTAAAAGCTATAATTAAGTTATGTTTAATTAATAATTTTTGTATACAATACGCATTTGTCTTATTTGAATTTAATCTCAATAAATTTTAGATTTACTAATTACTGTAATAATCTTTGGATCATATTATTAATACATTTGCAAAAATTAAAATTGAATAATCATATAAATGAGAAATCAAATAAAAATTTTAGTTTAATTTATAGTTAAAAATAGACAAACCGTTACATTTGTTTCTGACTTAGCCAAGTCTTTTAAAAAACTTGTTGTCACCTGATCATCACGTTGAGGTGCAGCAATATTGATCAGGGGAAGAGGGAAGGAAAAGTGAGAGAGGGAAAGGGAAAGAGTAAGGAAAGGGAAGGGAAGGTAAAGAGGAAAGTAAAAGATAGGAAAGAGAAGGAAAAGGAAAGAATGGAATAAGAGAGGGAAAGGAAAATGAGCGAAAGAACAAGGGAAAGGGAAAGGAAAGAATGAGGGGATAAGAGAGGAAAGGTAAAGAGAGGGGAAATGAAAAGAGTGAATAAATAAGAAAAGGAAAAGGGAAAAAGCGAGAGAATTAGGGAAAAGGAAAGGAAGGAGAGAACGGAAAGAGCGAGGGAATAAGGGAAAGGCAAAGGAAAGAAGGAAAACGAGAGGACAAGGGAATACATAATAAATCATACACGCACCACCCATCCTTACACACTCCCAACCTAAGTATCTAAAAGAAGATTGTAAAAAAAGGGAACCAAAAAGAAGACCTAATAACAATAAATTTTTCAATAATCAACCATTACTAATTAATATTATAATTATTATCATAAGTTCAAATGTTCAAATAATTGAAATAATTGGAGGGTTGCTAAAAAGGAACTGAAAGAGGACCTAATAAAGAGAAGACTTAAAGAAAAGAGAGGAGAAGAAATGACGGAGAATGCAGTCAGAAAAAAAGTGAAGACCGAAGTAAAGAAAAGACCTAGAAAGAAAAAGAAGATCAAAAGAAGACTAAAAAGAGAAGCACAAAGAGACCTAAAAAAAAAAATAAAAACTAAAGATATTGGGGACATATTTGTATTATATACTCAGTATGACAACGACGAACCTAGCGCCGCCTCCAAAAAATGGTAACCTGATTCATTTTGTCGGTTCTTTAGAATTAGGGTTAGGACTAGAGTTAGTCACATCCTAGCTGTTATTATTCTGTGGACTTCGAATTTTTTTTATATGTAAAAACTCTAATTATACCCTGTCGCACTAAGTGTGACTTATGATATAGAGCATCGTAATTTCCCTAATGATATATGTACAGTAAATATTTTTTCCCGAGATATTTTTAGACTGTTTTTCATGGTAATAAACTTTATTATATAAAATTAAATTACCTGTTCTTTATTATATATATAATTACATTAATGACTTCTACTTTAATATTATTACAAAGTTTAAAGTGATCATAAATCACACGTTCCTGAGTATATCTTAGTAATTTCATGGGGCGGAATACTATGGGTTTTCCCTTTGGGAAAAAAACCCTGATATTCCAAAACCCCATAGTTATTGCCTATTATTTGTCACATCCATAATATTATATGTAACCCGGAAAAATGAATCCGGCTACCATTTTTTGGAGGCGACGCTAGGGTGGATGTATGAAAACTATATATCACATGACTACGAGTAATTTTTAATTTATGGTATCCAGTTAGTCATCAAGTTTATATTCAGACTCGCTATCGCTACATTTGATTCATTTTAACAAGTTAAAACTATTTCAACGTTTTTTGCTTTATTATAATTTTGTTAAAATCGGAATCACTATCTTATAGATATTAATTGTATTAATTACTAAAAAGTTATTCAGGACAATGAGCTCCGGGATAATACACACTGAGAATAGATCCAGTTCTTTGGATACTAAATGATTTGATCAGCGTTTTATGCAAAAATAAATGAAAAGAATTAAAAAATTATTTTCTGATGACGTAATGGTTTTATTTGGAAAGAATTTATGTTGATCTTTAATTTAACTAAATTTGAATGAAAAATAAACTTTATAAATTACACAATTTTTTTTTTATAACCATATTAAATTCGTACTTTAAATTATTATAAATATTAATATGTCTACTCAATTTTTTTCTAAATTAAGTCAAAACTATATTGAATTATTGGATGATAGTGAATATTATGACATTACAATTGAAGTTGGTAAAGATCCTAATGTGAAAATATTTCGTTCACACAAGATTATTTTGTGTTACCGTTCTCCGTGCTTACGACGTAGTTTGGCCTCTAGTAAAAACCAGAGTAAGGACAATGTTTTAACTAACATTAAGTTTCCGAATATATCACCAGAGGTTTTCCAAATTATTTTAAGGTAAGTTTGTAACTATATACAGTACAATAATGACTAAATATAACATGAATATAATACGTATAATGATCTTTAATATTTATCGAAATAATTAATTTTTATGATACAGGTATATTTATGGTGGTATTCTCTCATTGAGTGGACAAGATGCTTCAGAAATTTTTCAAATTTTATTGGCAGCAGATGAACTATTTCTTCAAGAATTAATTGATTATTTACAAAAATATTTGATTGAAAATAAATCTAAATGGATGGAACAACATTTTGAATTTATTCATCGAACAAGTTTTCAATACAATTCTTTATTAGAAATTCAACAATTCTGTACAGATTTTATGGCAAAATCACCGGAGAAAGTGTTTAAATCGCTTGATTTCACTTCTCTTTCCGATAAATCCTTAGTTCAACTCATTAAAAGAGATGATTTACAAATGAAAGAATCAGAGGTTTGGGAGCATGTATTAAAATGGGGACTTACAAAAAATCCCACACTCCTTCCGGATCCTAATGACTGGTCAGATGATGATTTTAAAACAATGGAAAATACTTTACAACATTGTTTACCTTGGATTAGATTTTTTAGTTTATCATCCAAAGAATTTTTACAAAAAGTTCATCCTTATAAAAAGCTCTTAAGACGCCAAGTTTATGAAAATTTATTAAATTCTCACTTAGATCCTGATATTAAACCAATTGATAATATTTTACTTCCTAGAAATATTAGATTTGATGGTATTATTGATTCAAAAATTATTGATTTGAATATGGCTTCGATTATTTCAAGATGGATCAATAAAGTTGATGTTAATTGTAACTTTTCTTATTTAAGAGAATTATATTTACCATACAAATTTCAATTATTATTAAGAGGAAGTCGAGATGGATTTACTCCTAAAAAATTTCATCAATTATGTGATGGTAAACCTTATACTGTTACTTTTATCAAAGTAAAAGGAGCAGAAGAAATTATTGGTGGATATAACCCTCTAAAATGGGAATCTTCTGGTGGTTGGGTTGTAACTAAAGATAGTTTTATATTTTCTTTTAAAAATAAAGATATTAAAAGTGCAATTATTAGTAATATCGAAAAAACGAATGAAGCACTTTATTGTGGACCTAACAATGGACCTGATTTTGCCGATATTATTTTATATACTCCTGATGGAACCAATGTTTATACTAAATTAGTCTGTAAAAAGCGTCATCATGAAAAAAGTATAAGAGATACTGAAGGTAATTTTACTATGGATGACTATGAAGTATTTCAAATCTTAAAGAGATAATTGTTGTATTTTTATGTTTATATTATTTATTATTTTAGTATTATAAATAAAAAGAAATTGAAATTACTATAGAATTACCTTGAAGCTCGCATCAAAAAAATTAACTTTTTTCATGATTTCAAATAACTCAACCGAATTTTTCAAATTATTGGTATACTTTTTTTATGAAACTATGAATGATTTTAAATTTTGTATGAATTTCCTTCCGTGAACGATTTTATCTAACAAATACTGTATATCCAACTAATTGACTCGAATTTAAGTATTTACACATTTTTTTTATTAAAATTAAAATGATCTTTATAGAAATATCTATAGAAAAGATATATGAATCAAATACTAGCGCTAGTATTTTATATTTAAATACTACTATAAATTAAAGGTAAGGATATGGTGGTGAAGGTGCAAAGGAACAGTAAGTATGTTTCCATGCAGTATTTTTAGTTAACTGTTGGTACTAGCTTTTGCTACGATCCTATAATAGAACCGGTAACTTTACAGAAACTTCAAGATCGTAGCGATGGCTTAATGCACAGTAACTACATATATGTAATTTCTTTACGATTACATAATGTGGTCACTATGTATTTATAACGCAGTTACTGCGCATTAAGCCATCGCTACTATCTTGAAGTTTCTGTAAAGAAGTTGTTAAGAGAATTCGGACTATAAATCATAAAAAACTTTATTTATTTCTGTGAAGGATTAAATAAACTTCAAAAGTACCTAAATAAAAAAGGGAGATTTATTTTGTCCACAATCTGGATGCTTGCACTGATACTCTACGAAAAATAAAATGTCTTTTAAAAAGAGGTACGACATGATGTAACTAAACTCGTTATGTTACACTATGTTATGATTGTTATCTTACTAGAACCCATATTTGCAGATCAGCTTAGCATAAAAAAAATGGGAAAGAGATTTAATTTTTTAATTTTAGAAATAAAAAAATCCGAGAAAAGTATCAATTATCAAATAACAATTTTAATTACCAATATGTTACAAATAGGTATCACGACACTTTTGTTTTAATGCCATAATAAAAATTACCAATATTGAATAATGTTTCTCAGAATATTATGGATTATAGGGAAATGTGTACGACATTTTTACAAATAGATAAATGAAAACTAATTATTTAGCTTTTTTTTTTATTTAGTACATTACCTTTCATGAACAAAATTTTTATAATAATAACATTACTAGATATAATCTTGTAAGCTAACTAAAAATGATTAAAATGATTTCTCAGTAGTCAGTAGTAGGTTATATAACCGCTACATTTCTGTAAAGATTTTTATCATTAAAAAAAATTATTTTAAATTATTATACGATTTAATAATATCAACTTTTATTACTTGTTAAAAACTACATATTTAACATATATTCATCCGTGAGATTAGAATCAAAAATATTGAAATATTGAAAATTTATTCATGTGATAAAAATTGTTTCTGATGGCATAATAATTTTTATTTGGAAAGAATTTGCATTGATATTTAATTTAACCAAATGTGAAATGATTACATTACTAAAATAAGTAAATGTAAACTTTATAAATTTACACAATTTTTTTTTTTTTTTACCATATTAATTTCGGTTTTTTTATAATATGTCAACACAATTTCTTTCAAAATTAAGTCAAAACTATATTGAATTATTGGAAGATAATGAATATTACGATATTACAATTGAAGTTGGCAAAGATCCTAATGTGAAAATATTTCGTTCACACAAGAGTATCTTGTGTTACCGTTCTCCATACTTACGACGTACTTTGGCCTCTAATAACAACCAGAATAAGGACAATGTTTTAATTAACATAAAGTTTCCGAATATATCACCAGAGGTTTTCCAAATTATTTTAAGGTAGGTAAGTTTATGACCATACAGTAGTATAAATATAATGTGAATATAATGCGTATAAATTTATAATAATCTCTAATATTTATCGAAATAATTAATTTGCAATTTGCAATATAGGTATATTTATGGTGGTATTCTTTCATTAAATGTGCAAGATCCTTCAGAAATTTTTCAAATTTTATTGGCAGCAGATGACCTATTTCTTCAGGAATTAGTTGATTATTTACAAAAATATTTGATTGAAAATAAATCCGAATGGATGGAGCAACACTTTGAATTCATTCATCGAACAAGTTTTCAATATAATTCTTTATTGGAAATTCAACAATTCTGTACAGATCTTATGGCAAAATCTCCAGAGAAAGTATTTAAATCGCTTGATTTTACTTCACTCCCTAAAAAATCTTTAGTCCAACTCATTAAAAGAGATGATTTACAAATGAAAGAAATTGAGGTTTGGGAACATGTATTAAAATGGGGTCTCGCACAAAATCCTACACTTCTTCCAGATCCTAATGACTGGTCAGATGATGATTTTAAAACAATGGAAAATATTTTACAAAATTGTTTACCTTGGATTAGATTTTTTAGTTTATCATCCAAAGAATTTTTACAAAAAGTTCGTCCTTATAAAAAGCTCTTAAAACGCGAAATTTATGAAAATTTATTAAATTCTCATTTAGATTCTGATAGTGAACCAACCGATAATATTTTGTATCCTAGAAATATTAAGTTTAAAAGTATTATTGATTCGAAAATCGTTAATTTAAATATTATTTCGGCTATTTCGAAATGGATTGATAAAATATATATTATTAATTATAATAGTAAATTTGATCATTTAAGAGAATTATATTTGCCATACAAATTTCAATTATTATTAAGTGGAAGTCGAGATGGATTTACTTCAAAAAAATTTCATGAATTATGTGATGGTAAACCTAATACTATTACTTTAATTAAAGTAAAAGGAGCAGAAGAAATTATTGGTGGATACAACCCTTTAAAATGGGAATCTTCTGGTGGTTATGGAAGTTTTATCTTTTCTTTTAAAAATAAAGATATTAAAAACGCAATTATTAGTAACATGGGAGAAACGAATCAAGGTTTCTATTGTTAGTCTAATAATGGACCTAATTTTGGCGATATTATTTTGTGGGCTCCTAATGAATCTACAGATTATACCGAGATGGTTTATAAAAAATGTCATTATGAAAAAAGAATAAGAGATACTGATGGTGAATTTATTATTGAAGAATATGAGATATTTCAAATCTTAAAGAGATAAATTTATTTTTTTGTTTGTATAATTTAAGATTTAGTATTATAAATAAAAGAGATTAAATTAGATGAAATTGCCATAGGATATTCTTAAAGTTCGTATCAAAAAATAATCTTTTATCATAATTTTTATGAGCAGAACTTTTTATATTGCTGGTATAGTATTTTTTATGAAACGAATGATTTAAATTTTGTGTAGAATTTCCTTTCATGAACTATTGACTCAAATTGTTTATTTACTTTATGTCTCTAGTTCCATTAAGCCGAGTTAATCACCCTCCCCTATTTTAAGTATTTACATCTTTTTTATTAAATAGTCTATAGAATTATCTATGGAAAGTATATATAAATTAAAGAGTGTTTATGCTTAATAGTATAACAAACTGGAAATAATTCGATGATGGAGATGTGGAGTGACAGTATACTTCCATGCAGTACTTTTAGTAAGCTCACTGTCAGTCAGTTGTTAAGAAGATTCACCTGAATGATTCAACTTTATTTTTTACGCACCTGTTTTGAATTAAACTTTACCAAACAGAAGCCAATTAATTTTTTTTTCAATTATTCAGTAAATTTTTTAAATTATTTTTTAATAATATATGTATTTAACGGACATTCCACACCAAATTAAGTAGCTTACTAATTATTTAATAATAGAATTAAATAATTAACTTCCTATAAATAATTTTTTAAATAAAAACAAAATTCATTTTTTATAAACTTGAAAATAAAAAAAAAATGAGTCACAATAATATAGACGAGATACAAATAGAAACTGTATTTTATCCTTACATTACAATCTTGGCAGTGAGATTTAATTTTGTTCATTTGAAGCAATAATGGTGAATAAATATTTTCAAATTTTTATTGCTTTTGAATTCTACCTACACTTATATTAAATAAATAGAATACTTTTAAATAAAAATTTGGGCTGCAGTAATCATCACTGACCACAGGTGAAGTAACTCAAAATTTTAGAACACATAAAATGAAAAAATATCTATACTGGTTTGGGCCACTAAATATATTAGCTAAATGATAGAGAATAACATACATTTGTCTTTCAAGAGTAAATAATGTCATAATTTTCTTCCATGCAGTCATGCACTCAATGGTTCGAATCATATGAATGAGTATATTGTGTTATTTCTTTTATATATAAAGACGGTAAATTTGACTCAGTGAGGTATATCGATTGGAATGAGCTGTCACTATTGTTTGTTAAAGGGTTTTTAGTATTGTATTTCTGTATTTGCAATATGCTGTAAATGAAAATATTTCGTAAATTAAAGCTAGCTCATATTACTTTTATAATTTTAATTTTTGCTAATTGAAGATTTTTTTTGGATTTCTTTTATATATTTATTAATCAATCTAAATCAACATTTTAAGTGCTCCTAAACTTGGGCAATATATTTTGTGAAGGATTCATAGTTCTAGTAGTGATAGTTTGCAATTTATTATTATGTTACAAATGACAGGAACGTTTAACTATTATATTACAAATATTAAATCAATCTAAAATTCAAATGCTGCTTTTAAATATTAAGAATTCCTCTAACTTATTGGCGACTGTTAAAGAGTTAAAAAAAAAAAATACTTATAAATAAATAAATTATATTTTTTTTTTAACTCAGAATTTTATAAACATATCTATCAATTTATACGAGATCGTAATAATTTAAATATAAAATTTATATCAATATCACGTGAATTTTGGATTTTCGCAATTTAAAAAATGTCTGTTCAATTTTTTTCAAAATATTGGAAGATGATGAATATTATGATGTTTACCCGAACGTAAAAATATTTCGTGCTGTAGAACTTAACACGTTTACCACACCAAGCTACGAAAATAAATTTATTACTATATTTGATGAAAATTATAACAAATCCCAAGTTCATTAATTAAATGATTAATATAACGAAAATTTCAAGAAGAAAATCATTTCAAATCTAACATTGTGCCAAATTTCACACAATATATTTATAGGAAACTAATAAAAATTAAAAATAATCAATTAAAATATTGATTTCCTAAATTTAACAACTTCATATAAAAACCGCTTTTCATTAAAGAACTAAAAGTTATTTTAACGTCACTACAGGCGCAATCCCCTAAACAAACTGGTCATTTCGGACAGTCTCTATTAATAATAAATGCGAACGTCATTGCGGACGCAGTAAATTTAAAACACTTAAAATTTTTATACATTTAAACTAAATGTAGTACTGCGCCCATAATTAATAGTTTCAGGTAAATTCAGCCCTTATAGTGCTCGTTCTCCTTTTTTACGACGATCTTTGGCTTCTAAAAAAATAATAACGTCTTAACTCATCGAAAATCTTCCAAATTATTATAAAGTATTAAAAAGTAATATATGTAATAAATTTAAATTACAGTATAATATTTATAATAATCTTATATTCAATATAGGTATCTATATGGTGGCATCTTTTTTGTTGAACGAGGACACGTTAGATATTTTTAAAATTTTAATTGCTGCTGATGAGCTTCTTCTTCAAGAATTAGTTGATTATTTATAAAACTATTTTATTGAAACAAAATTGAGTGAATGGAGCGACATTTTGAACTTGTACATCGAATAGCTTTTAATATAATAATTTGTCATAAATTCAACAATTTTATATAGATTTTGTGGCCAAATCACCTGAAAAATATTTAAATCACTTGATTTTACTGCGTCTTCTGAAAAATTTTTAATTTCACTTTATATAAAAAGAGATGATTTTCAAAAGAAGGAAATTGAATTTGGGGCATGTGCTAAAATAGGGTCTTGAACAAAAGATCAAACTCTCATTCCAAATCCTGATACTTGGACGATGATGATTTTAGAATGATAGAAAATACTTTACAAAATTGTTTACCTTTAATTAGATTTTATAGTTCATAGAATTTTTACACAAAGTTCGTCCATATGAAAAACTTTTTAAGCAACAACTTTATGAAAATTTGTTGAACTCGTATATGGATCCTGATGTTAAACCAAATGATAATAATATTATGCTCCCTAGAAATTTGAAAATTGATAGAATCATTGATAAAAAAATTGTTAATTTAAATATTATTTCGATTATTTCGAGATAGGATTGATAAAGTGGATTTAATAGTAAATTTTCATATTCGAGAGAATTATATTTACCATATATATATATATATATATCAAATTCGAATTATTATTAAGATTTCATGAATTACATGATGATAAAACCCAATACTGTTACATTTATTAAAGTAAATGGATGGAATTGTCAAAATATTAGGTGGGCATAATCTTTAAATATGAAATCTTCTGATGGTTGGGATCAAACTTAAAGTTTATATTTTCTTTTAAGAAAAATGATAAATTTCATGATTCAATTTTAATACTAGTTTTATTTTTTTTCTATGAAGGGTTAATACAAATTTACTTGCACAGATACTTTAGTGCTTTTAGTGCCATAAATGAAAAGCTATAACTTAACAAATTCTTTAAGAATAGTTATTACATGATCGTAAAACTGATATATGAATTTAAGATCTTTAAAATGCAGTTTAATTAGGTAGCAACCCATTAATGTTACCTTACTGAGGCTACATATTTACAGACAGGCTTAGCCTAAAAAAATAGATTTAGTGTGATTATCAAATTTTATTGTCATAACTGAAAAATATTAATAACAATTTTAATTCGCCTATATGTTATATATTAGGCAAAACAAAATTTTTCTTTAACAATACATTTTTATCATATTCTTAAAATAAATCAAGTAATGCTTCTCAGAATATTATGATGTATTTCAGATTATAAAGAAATGAGTACTATATTTTTACAAATAGATAACTGAACCAACTAACATGAACACTACATTTGTTTAAGTTTGCTTAAAGTCCCCATTAAAAATTAATGTTAACTTGTTGTATAAAGCAATATATAACATCAGTTTATTATTAATATGTAATTGTTATCAGTCATGTTGTAGATGATAACTGATTTACCACTAGGATTGCTATGTATATCATAGGCCATCCTTAACCTGATCCACCGGTCCAGATGCTTATTCTGGACCAGTCAACTTTTGATTGGCTAATTACTAGCACTTTTATTACATAGCTCCGGCATAATTTATTTTATCTCTCACTCTTCCTATCTTTCACTCTTTCTCTATTCTTTTTGTGGTATGTTAGTACTTAGTATTTCATATTTCATTTAAGCTTGTATATTTTAATTTTAATTGTATTTATTGTAGTTTTATGATAATGCTAAATGTTTTTTATTTTCTTTTTGAAGAAGTTTTATGATATATTAATATTATTCTGGAAATCAAGTGTTTTTTTTTAAGTTTTGGGGTTAAGTAAATTACACATTTATAACATTACTTTTAAAGCTAATATAATATTACTTCGTACTTTTGTTTTGATATTAACATTAAAATAATTTTAATAATAAAATTACAGTAAAAAATAATGTAAAGACCTTTTTTATAAAGTTATATATGCAATTTTACTTATTTATTAATAAAGTTTAATAAAATGCATATCAAAATACAAATTTTAAATAACATATTACTTTAAAACGGTAGTATTAAATGCTTTTAAAAAAAGGCATTTCATAACTTTTTTTTAAAAAAACGCGAATTGTTTTTTCTTAAGGCAAATGTTACACAAACCAATCTTATCCAATTAGATTTGCTGGTCCAGGATAAGCATCTGGACCGTGGCCCAGGATAAGGATGCTCGTATATCATATGGCCGAAGGCCACATGATAGAGTAGCATCCTAGTGTAAATCAGTTATCATAAACATGACTGATAATAAAGTTATTGGATATGTATGACGTAAGCAACTGAGACCTTTTTTCGTGTATCTTATTTATTATTTTATAATAAAGTGATCAAAAATTTTGTATATCACTAATTATAAAGTGACCAAAATTTGTGTATCACTATTATAAAGTGATCAATAACATACGTGAAAAATGTCCAGTGCTTACATAGAACATATACAATAAAAATATGTTATCACCGTTAATTAGTCCGGAGCGTAGCGAAGGACTCTTTATGTTCTATCCATGGTGGTACAAAATATCCCGTTGTCCGTCCGCTTGTTCTTTGAGTCGACGTTTAATTGGTTCTTATATCACACAAAATTATCTCGATCGGTTAATTGAGCATGTGATTATCTACCTATATACTGATAAGCTCCGGACTACGTAACGGTTTACCGTTTCCCTAGTATTTATATTAGAATTTATGAAGCAATAGAAGTAGCATGATGTAACTTTAATTTTTTCTATATTAGCTATTACATTGTAAAATCTAGCAAATTCAGTTTTTAAAAATTTAAAGATATTGAATAATTAAGCATATGATGCTAAAAATTAACTTTAGACTTTGTATATATTCTTTTAGTACTTCTGTTTTTGGAAATATAATAACTCCTTTAATTGCAGAATCAAGAATTTCTCCCCACAATCATGAACTGCAGCTAACTGATCTCATGGTGGGTGATGTGAATCTGCAATTCTTTTAGCTTGTTCCTTCCCAACATAATTATAAGCATGAATAACCTCATTATGATTAGATAATTGATGTTCTTGAACAAACCACTTTCTTCTTAATAATTCTGAAAATTTTCCATTACGACAACTCACTACCTTCTAAATTAATATAATAATTTTGTAGTTTAACCCTCTCACTTGGAAGTTGAAAAATTATGATGCATGAGCATCCTTGCCAATCCTTATTATGAATATTGCAATGACATTCATGAATATAGATTCCAGAGTGAATTGATTACATAAATATCTTGCAGCTTCAAGTGTTACTTGAGTTGTAATACATCAGTTTCTCTACCCTCTGTTCCATCATCATGTCTACGTCTGCATTGTTCTTTAACCATTGAATCCATCTATACATCATATTGTCATCTTATTCTTCAAGGAATACCCATCAGGATAAGAAGTAATCTATGGAGTTATGACATTAAGATCGAATCCTGTTCTGCAGAAACTTGTCAAGAAATAGTCCAAATATTTTCGATTTTTCATGTCATTAGTGAGAACAGGACTTTCACGTACGAAGCTTGGAAGATCAAAATTTGCAATCAAGGTTATAAGAGACTTTATTTATTTGATGCACGCAAGAAGTTGACAAATAATCATGAAAAGTTATGATTACCTTCATTCTCATTTTCTTTCACAAAGGATGTTTGCATTTTCTTTGTAATCCCTACAAATTTTAATTAAGTTAATACAAGAAATTAAGATAACGTAAGTTCATATACTAAAATTCTTCTTACCTCTATCTTGTCAGCTTCTTTCTCTGGTTTTTTTTTGTTTATATTCACGCGAGACAAATAAATTTTTTTTAATACCTAACATGATTAATGTTTACTAAATATTATTCAGGAAGACTTATTTAGAGAAGAACGAGATCACATAAAGTTTATAAGCTATTTAAATATTTTATGTTATTACTATTATTATTTATTCTCACGATAAACAACATATAAAGTAGCTTAATATGATTCATAAGAGTTAAATGTAATGATGTGTCGTATATCATGAGAATAAATAGTATAAAAAACCTTTTGTCATTACATATTAGGCCGAAGTTATTTTTCAATCTCAGAAATTTACACATTTTTTTTTAAATTAAGTTACCTTGCAGTAGTTATTGAACGAGATAGTATGACATTGGAATTATAGACTAAATGATGAACGATATAACTGTGGAACGTATGTCCTAGCCACAGTCAATTCTCGTTTGGGTACTAATACATTTTGATTTACAGTGTGTATGTAACATTCATTAGGTTGTAACATTATTTATTTTGTAACAATGTAAGCCTTATTTGTTTAATAACAATTTTAATCTAAATTTATCATTGTATCAACATAAACTGGTGTTTCTGAAGACTTATCAAATAAAACTAAGTAATTTCCATTTAGCTAACATGTTATCTGCTGGATGAATACCCAATTCAAAATCATTTGGTCTTTTGTCAGATTCGCCTATATAATTTTCACTATCTAAATGATCTATATAGATTTCAGAATTGACATTATTATACCATCAATATCATCATCAAACAATTAGAAATGACAAAATTATGTCATTTTATCATTTGTCATTTGCAAATGACATTTTTTTTTAAAAAATGATATATAAACTTTATCAAATGTTATTTACCACTTTGAATTTAAAAGAAAACTATATTAAATTTCAAAAACATAAAATATAAGAATAAATCACGCATAAGTATATAATAACATATTATATAATATCAATCGTCATCATTCAAAAATCCATTTTGTTTTTTATGTCTCACGAATATTATACAGAATAACAAAAATGTCTTGTAAACAGATTACCTTTTAAAGAATTAAATAAAATTTAATGTCAGTGAAAGAATTAAATGTTAAATCAATTTAATATCTGGAATAGTACGAATCAATGTTTTACTTGAAAAATGATAATCGTAAATAATTCTTGTTTGTCTCTTCAATTGATTTTTCGGGGTTATTAATACCAGAAACTGACAAAGTAAGATTATTAGTTGATGCAATTTTGAGATTTTTCTTTTTATACAAAATAACAGAAATGTCGTGTAATACCTCATTTCAAAGGGTAGATTACGATAATTCGAAGCATGATATGTAATTAACCTTGTATTATCTGCTCACTGAAAATATATTCCAAATGGCTTGTGAATGATGGACAGGACATTATATAATTTTTAAGTCTGATCTGATCAATAATAATAAAATTCAAGATTTAATCTATTAGAATAATATCGATCTATTTAAAGTTAGATCATTCAAATCTCTATTATTTTCTCGCCAAATAAAAAATGATTAATTAATCAGTTTTTGCATAATATAATACACATTAATCTTATATTTATCGTCATAAATAATTATTAATTTTGTTTGTGTTTTTAGATTTAATTTATGGACATCAAGATCATGTGTTAGGGCGCGTGACTTTTGCAATTGGCTAAATGATTTTCCGTTTGCCGAATAAAATATGTACAAAATACTTACTCGGTATAGAAAATTTTTTTTGATACTTTCCCTTGCTGAATTTATTCTGAATTTATTCTAAAAATGACTAACTATTATTGGATTATAGCTCAACATTCTGGGAAAGTTCTTGAAGTTAAAGATGGCTCTTTTTGTAGTTCTGTTGAAAATTGAAATTATCCAACGTAGTAAGAAATCCGAGCATGATCCCAACGTAATGTTGACATTAGATTTTAATAGAATAATAACGTGTGATTATAGTGTGATTATTGCTTATTAATCGATTGTTTTTATTTTCTCCATGTTTAGGTTGATATGCAACTCTGGTATTTTAATGGTGGATTTATTGTGAATAAAAGACCTGGCTTCGTGCTTGATGTTGTCGGAGGTATGTAACAACGTAATTTAATTAGTGAAATCAAATCTTCTAATTTCTAAATCAAAAAAAAATTTTCTTTGATAATTAAGCGAAATGCCAAACTGGTGAGTTATTTAGTGAATATTATTTTGTTTTCTCTAATTCCACAATTAAAGTATTTTAATTATCATAAAGGTACGAGAATTGTTCAATACCATAAGCATAAGCATGATGAACCTTCTCGCGGTCAAGAATGGGAATACAACTATGAGGACAATTCTTTCTATTTGAAATTTAATCGAAATTTTGTCCTTGATGTCTCGGTATGCTATCTAAATTGCTTTTCTTGATATAATATTAGAGATTATAATAATAATAATTTTTTTTTAACTTGTATTTTTATAGGGGACTAACATCATCCACTTGTGGGATAAGCATGGTGGCAAGAATCAACAATTCATTTTGCAAAAGTGGGATGATGATTCGGCAGTTATTGAAAATGCAGAAATGAACATTATTGATAATTTTAAATTTTCGCCAAAATTATCACAAAATTTCCTTGAAATTTTGGATGATGACGAATATTATGATGTTAATATTGAAGTCGGTGATAACCCCCATGTAAAAACATTTCACGCTCAAACGGTTATTTTAAGTTACCGTTCTCATTACCTACGAAGAAAGTTGTCGACTAATAAAAAAAATAATGATGGGACCTTGTCACGTATTGAACTACCTAATATTTTACCGGAAATTTTTGAAATTATTTTAAAGTAAACCCTAATTGAATTAAGGTGTCGTTACTTTTTTTTTTATCAATATACTATTATATTTATTATATTTCTGTTTTCAAGGTACATTTATGGCAGAAGACTTTCTTTAAAAGAACATGATGCGTCAAATATAATTAAATTATTAGTTGCCGCTAATGAATTAGGTCTTCAGGAGTTAGTTATCCATATTCAATCCTTTTTAATGGAAAACAATTCAAACTGGATGGAACAAAATTTTGATCTGATATGTCGAACAAGTTTTGAAAATGATTCTTTTCTGGATCTTCAGAAGTATTGTAATTGTGTAATATCTAAAATATCTAATGAACCTGACAAGATATTCAAATCGCAAAATTTTACTTCAATTCCGAAAAATCGTTTAATTTCGGTTATTCAGGATGATAATCTTCAAATGGACGAATATCTAGTTTGGGAATATGTACTTAAATGGGGAATTGCTCAAAATTCAGCAGAACTGCCTTCTAACGTTAATGACTATTCAGAAGAAGATTTCAATACTTGAAGAATACCTTTCAGAAATGCATTCCATTTATTAGATCCTTACAGAAAAGTTTTACCAACAGAATTATATGATGATTTATAATTGAGTCTCTTGAATCCTGATAATAAGAAAGGTGAATCAAAATCTCGTATACCAAGAAATATTAACTCAAGTGGTATTGATTCAAATATTATTACCTATCAGCATTCCGAAACAATCTCAAAATGGGTCAATGGATTAGAATTAGAAATTACTGATAAATTAAAGTTACCATATGAATTCAAATTATTATTCCGTGGATCCCGGGATTGAAAAGTTTCATAAATTTTGTGATCTTCAATCTCGTACTGTTACAATTGCTAAAGTGAAAGGTAGTAACGAAATTCTTGGAGGATATAATCCGATCACATGGAAATCTGCTTATAGATATAGTAATACTAAAGATAGTTTTATATTTTCTTTTAATAATAACAGAAGTGAAAATTATATAGTTGATAATCGCCATACTATAGATAATAGATCTTATTATGGTCCATCATTTGGTAATGGAGACCTTATTTTATGGGGATTAGATATTAATACACTTAGTACTAATTAATGTTATGCTTGTAAAAATTCTTATGAAAAACCGATTAGAGAAACTGAGGATAGATTTTACGCTGAGGAATATGAAGTATTTCGACTGATGAATATTTATTCATGAATTTTTTTTACCTTTATTTATTTATTTATTCAAAAATTACTTTTAACTACCAATATTTACACAGAACGTTAGTATTATTTTTTATAAGTTGAGATAATAGTATACTAAACAATAAATTGTAATTAATTGAAAATATAAAATTTAGGTGTTACTAAAACGTTAAAGCAAATGATATTGGAATGATGAAAATGCGGATTATTTTGAATTTTAATTCAGTTCATAATAGCTTTTTGGTTAATGTGTCGCAACGGCTTGACATTTGCTCGTTTATTATTCTAACAACTATTCACATACTGTTTCATATACAGGAGTATCTCTTGGACATGAAATAAATCATCAATGATGCGATGATTTTTAATAAAGAGTCTACTATTTTTGAATGAAAAATCCGGGTGAGATTAATTATTCCGTTATTAATTTGATAGTAATACTCATTATATTAGTACGGTTGAAATAAAAATTTATTTTAAGAAAGAGAAACGTCATATCTTTGTTAATAAGCTTGTATAAAATGAATAATGCAGAAATTTAAAACCCGGTAACATCATCTATCTAATTTAAAACATTTATCTCAAAATTTGAAATACTTCATAATCTTCTATAGAAAATACATTATTAGTATCTCTTATCATTTTATCATAATATTCCTCATCGCAACTAATTGTACTATAATCAGTAGATTCATTGGAAGAATATATATAAATATCACAACCAAATTGTGGCCCATGCTCAGCATCATAAAATACTGCATGATTTGCATCTTGTACACTACTAATAATCGAACCATTAACATCATTATTTTTAAAAGAAAAAATAAAACTTTCTTAAGTTTCAACCCATAAACCAGAAGATTTCCATATTAACGGATTGTATCCCCCGACAATCTCCTCTGTTCCCTCTATTTTAATTAAAATAACAGTATTAGATTTACCATCGCATAATTCATGGAATTTTTTAGGTGTAAATCCATCACGGCTTCCTCTTAATAATAATTTAAATTTGTACGATTCTTTCAAATGTGCAAAATTATTTCTGATATTCATTTTATCAATTTGTCTCAAAATAGTTTTAACAATACTCAAATTAGTAACGATTTTTGAATCAATAATTTTCTCAATTTTAATATTTCTGGGAAGCAAAATGTTTGCATTCGGTTTACTATCGGGATCCATAAAAGAATCTACTATTTCTTCATAAAGTTGTCGGCTAAAGAGTTTTTGATATGGACGAACTTTTTGTGAGAATTCTTTAGATGATAAACTAAAAAATCTAACTAAAGGTAAACAATGTTCTAAGGTATATTCCATTTATTTGAAATCATCATCTGACCAAGTTTTAGGATCTGGAATTAGGGTTTGATTTTGTGCAAGTCCCCATTCTAATACATGTTCCCATACTTCAACCTCTTTCATTTGTAAATCATCCCTTTTAATAAGTGAAATTAAAGATTTTTTAGAAAGTGAGATGAAGTTAAATGATAAAAGTAATTTTTCGGGAGATTGAGCTATTAATTTTGTACAAAATTCTTGTAGCTCTAATAAATTATCAGATTTTGAACTAATTTGTTGAGTAAATTCAAAATTTTGTACTATCCATTCAGACTTATTTTCAATTAAATATTTTTGTAAGTAATTAACTAATTCCTGAAGGTGAAAGTTATCTGCCGAGGTCAAAATTTTAAAAAAGTCTGAAGCGTTATCCACATTCAATGAAAGAATACCACCATAAATATACCTATATTACAAAAATCAAATAAATATTAGAAATAATATATTATCCACGTTTAATTTACTTATTTACTTACTCTAGAAAAATTTGAAATATTTCCGGTGAAATATTTGATAGTTTAATATGAGCTAATACGCTATTGTTGTTCTTTTTATTAGAAGCTACAATTCGTCGTAAATATGGAGAACGGTAACACAAAATATTCATGTGAGCACGGAATATTTTTACGTTAGGATCTTCGCCAACTTCAATTGTAATATCATAGTATTCATCATCTTTTAATAATTCGATATAATTTTGACTTAATTTCGAAAAAAATTGAGTAGACATTTTTGTTTGTTTTAAAATACGGAAGAATGAGGGTATTTAACATTTATAATTAGTTTCAAATATGGTCAAATTAAATATTGATGTACAGCGCCAACCTGCGGCTTGTTTTACCATACTTATATATAATAGGAAATTGTACTATTATGCATAGATATATCTGAATTAATTATAAATATTAGACCTTAAAAAAAAAAAATCAACAAAATGTCTACTCAATTTTTTTCGAAATTAAGTCAAAATTACATTGAATTGTTGGAAGATGATGAATATTATGATATTACTATTGAAGTTGGTGATGATCTTAATGCAAAAATATTTCGTGCTCATATGAATATTCTGTGTTACCGTTCTCCATATTTACGACGAATTTTAACTGTCAATAAAAAGAATAACGATAATAGTTTAACTTTTATTAAAATACCAAATATATCGTCAGATGTCTTTAAAATTATTTTAAGGTGAGTTTATAATTTTATTAAGAATGGCGTCGCTCGGTGACCAACCGATACCGGTCACGAGCCATTGACCGGTTAATGACCGTTACCATCCTTAAATTTCACAGTGATTTTGATATATTACATAATAAATATAATTCTAATGATATCTTGAATAGGTATATTTATGGTGGTATCCTTTCGTTAAATGGGCAAGAAACTTCAGAAATTTTTAAAATTTTACTAGCTGCAGATGAACTACTACTTCAAGAATTAATTAATTATTTGCAAAAATATTTGATTGAAAATAAATCCGAATGGATGGAACAACATTTTGAACTTATTTATCAAACAAGTTTTCAATTTGATTCTTTAATAGAACTTCAACAATTTTGTACAGATTTGATGGTAAAATCTCCAGTAAAAATATTTAAATCACTTGACTTTACTTCAATTTCTGAAAAAGCTTTAGTTCAATTTATCAAAAAAGATGATTTACAAATGAAAGAAATCGAGATTTGGGAGCATTTACTAAAATGGGGTCTTGCACAAAATCCTACACTTAATCCAGATCCTACTACTTGGTCAGATGAAGATTCTAAAACAATGGAAAACACTTTACAACATTGTTTACCTTTAATTAGATTTTTTAGTTTATCATCCAAAGAATTTTTACAAAAAGTTCGTCCTTATAAAAAGCTCTTAAAACGCGAAATTTATGAAAATTTATTAAATTCTCATTTAGATCCCGAAAGTGAACCAACTGATAATATTTTGCTTCCTAGAAATATTAGATTTGATGGGATTATTGATTCAAAAATTACTGATTTAAGTATAGTTTCAATTATTTCAAGGTGGATCAATAAAGTAGATGTTAATAGTAATTTTTCTCATTTAAGAGAACTATATTTACCATACAAATTTCAATTATTAATAAGAGGAAGCCGAGATGGATTCACTCCTAAAAGGTTTCATCAATTATGTGATGGTAAGCCTTATACTGTTACTTTTATGAAAGTAAAAGGAACCGAAGAAATTCTTGGTGGGTACAACCCTTTAAAATGGGAATCTTCTGGTGGTTTAGTTAATACTAAAGATAGTTTTATTTTTTCATTTAAAAATAAAAATGCACAATGTGCAATCATTAGCAATATAGTAAATGAAGATCGTGCTTTGTATTATTGCAAAATAAATGGTCCGGATTTTTGTGATTTTAGTATATGGGCTAGAAATGAGTCTATAGATTATGATAATTTTAGATATAGAAAAAGTAATTATGAAAAAAGAGTAAAAGATATTGATGGAGACTTTATCATAGAAGATTATGAAGTTTTTCAAATCACAAAGAGATAAGCGTGCTTTTATTAATATTGTTAGATTTAAGATGTCAATTGGTTAAAATAAAATTTTTTGATATAATGAATATTTCCATAATAAATTTTTTCGAAAGCTCCACATAAATTCTAATCAAGAAAAATAAATTTTTTTTTTTCACCGAAGATACTATACTCTTCACAATAAAAATCATAGAGCGAATTTTGAATATTTATTATGACTTTTTAAATTTCTAATGTAATATGGTAGTATTATTCTTTTGTTGAATAAGTAGGGCTGCAGATGAGTTTAATTCCAACTTCCAAGAAGTAGTAGATTATTTATAAAAATACTGATATTATACTTTGAATTTTTGCACAAATTTAATGGTTCTAATTTCAACTATCGATGATTTGTATATGAAAGAAATAGAAGTACTAAAATGTGTCTTATATGATATCCTGGTATTTGATTAAAAAATAATAAAAAGTACAACAACATTGTTTACTATCAACCTTCTAAGTAAAGAATCAGCTACCGATATTGTATCAACTATCAACACATCAGAAAAAATAAATTCAATTGGAAATGCAACCTAAATTATTGATTTATGTTTAAAAGTATTGTTTCATCTTATTTCAAATTGAATAGAAAAAATTATTATAACAAAAATGAAATTTTAATTATATAAAAGATATAGTCTCTGGCGAAAATAATGGCGGTGAGAATACCGCTTCTTAATTTGATCATAACTTCATTACTATCCCAATTAGAGTATTGCTTTTTATACTAAATTAAACAGTGGAATGCTCATTTAAAAAACAATGAAAAAAAGTAATTCCAAATACTAACATTATTTTTATTTTATTACCAAAAATATCTCCCATTATAATTAAATTTATTATGAGGGTTTTAACTTTTTTCTTGAGTCAAATTTTTAAGAATTTTCTAATTGAATTGGAAATTTTTTTGCATTTCTGTAAGCAATATATACCTCTTTTATAAAAAATGCCAAAGTTTTAAATATTTTTATTTTAAATGTCAATACTAAAGCTTTATCTTAGAAATACTACCAAAATCGAAATGATGGCCATTTTCACATTATTTTAATTTTCATCAAGAAAATTTTAAAATATGTGTATTTTTGACTTACCAGATAATTTTTTAGGTTATTGACGATCTTATTATTATAATAGAGATGTAAAATAACAACTTTCATAATATTTAAGATGATGTATGAAAATTTGTCTTTCAATAATGAGTTTTTCATGCTCATTTTAAAGCCCAAATCTCAAATCATAATAAAACTTTGGATTATTTTGACAATCCTGAATCCGATAAATCCGGATAGATCCCAGCTCATCTGATATCCGTAATAAAACGGTACACCGTATGGGAGATCATCCGGATTAACGAATTGTAATCCGTATAAAAATTATATAATTGTATGATCAGATCGATTATCAACGTTGCAGTTTTTCCTTAAATCTTAATAACGTCACAAGAAGAATTGATAATCAGATCAGTCAAACCACATTCATATTTATTGAACAATAAATAGAATAGACTCAACGGGAAAAAGTGTGTTAAATAGTTAATTTATAAATATTAATAAGTATATCAGCACATTTATAAATTTTTAAAGATAAAGAATAATAAATACAAAATTAAATGTAAATTCCGCAAAAGGGCTTAACAAAACTTTTTTTTGTTTAAATTGTATGTTTGTATGTTTATATTTCAATTTCAAATAAAAATTATAATGAAATTTTCTAGGATGGATCTGTGAAAGTTTGGATAATCTGTTGAATTTTGGATTCGGATTATCGTCCGGATTCAGCTGAAGCCAACCGGATTGAATCTGGATGGCTTTTTAGACATAGGATCGGATCACTAGTTTTTGAAGCAGTATATTAAGAAGATGGTAATACAAAAAAAGAAAAAAATTTTACAAGCCATTTCTCAATTATTTAGAAAAGAGTAAAATAATTTTCAAAATAGCATAATTATTAATAGCGAGGTTATTGGTGATAATAGCATGCAAAATCAAATTGAAGCATGTGTTTATGCAAATAGAGGTAAAACCAAATATTTATCAAATAATAAAATATTTGTATTTTTGACTCTTCTTCTCAAAAATAAAAAAAAGATTTCATATCTTCATTATAAAATTTATGTGCTATATTAAACGCCATTACTTTTACCAGAGTCTGTACAGATCATGCAGTAAATTTGACTCTTAACACGGCGGTCCAAAGTTTGACAGCGTTTGCTCAAGATTAATCATGCAAAAAAGATGTGTTATTTTGAAAATGTATTTTCAATAAATGATTTTGAAGTATAAGGAGTCTATGAAATATTTTTTTCGCTATTTAAAGAAATCTGTGAATATTCATAGTATACTTTTTACGGATTCATTTTAAGACGCAATTTTAATTTTAATTTATATTATTTAGTTTGAGTCGTACTAATCAGTATTAATATTTATGATAAATGATAGATTATTTCATGTTGTATAATTATTAAAAATGAAGAAAAGGTTAAAGAGTTACAGGATTATTGAAGTGACGAGAGATGAATTGGGACTATCGATTTTATAAATTAGTAATGGATTTTTATTTCTATTTTACGTGAGTTTCGCGATTCAACTCGTTTCTTAATAAGCGATCATCTATCAAAATAATTTTTGAATTTATTAAAAATCTCTTAAAATCACTCTAAGATAAAGAGATACTTTCACCAATATCAGATGAAATAAAAATTTATTTCAAGAAAAAGCAACGTCATTTCATCGCTGTAAAGCATTATAAAATGAATAATGTACAAATTTTAAAACCAAGTAACAACATTTATTTAATTTTAAAACATATATTTATTTCAACATTTGAAATACTTCATAATCTCCTATAAACAAATATTCTTCAGTATCTCTTATCTTTTTTTCATAATATTTTTTTTTATAACAAAGTGTACTATAATCAGTAGATTCAGTGGAAGAATATATATAAATATCATGGCCAAATTGTGGTCCAAATCTAGAATGATACATTACTGCATGTTCTTTATCTTGTACATTACTAATAATTAAATCTTTAACATTATTATTTTTAAAAGAAAAAATAAAACTGTCTTTAGTTTCACCCCGACCACCAGAAGATTTCCATATTATCGGATTGTATCCACCAATAATCTCCTCTGTTCCTTTTATTTTAATAAAAGTAACAGTATTAGGTTTATTGTCACATAATTCATGAAATTTTTTAGGAGTAAATCCATCACGGCTTCCTCTTAGTAATAATTCAAATTTGTATGATTCTTTTAAATGTGCAAAGTTATTTCTGATATCCATTTTATCAATTTGCCTGGAAATAGTTTTAACAATACTCAAATTAGTAACAATTTTTGAATCAATAATTTTCTCAATTTTAATATTTCTAGGAAGTAAAATATTTTCATTCGGTTTACTATCAGGATCCATGAACGAGTCTACTAAGTCTTCATAAAGTTGCCGGTTCAAGAGTTTTTGGTACGGACGAACTTTTTGTGAGAATTCTTTAGATGATAAACTAAAAAATCTAACTAAAGGTAAACAATGTTCTAATGTATTTTCCATGTTTTTGAAATCATCATCTGACCAAGTTTTAGGATCTGGAGTTAGGGTTGGATTCTTTGCAAGTCCCCATTTTAATACGTGTTCCCATACCTCAACCTCTTTCATTTGTAAATCATCCCTTTTAATAAGTGAAATTAAAGAGTTTTCAGAAAGTAATAATGTGAAGTTAAATGACAAAAGTATTTTTTCAGGAGATTGAGCCATCAATTTTGTACAAAATTCTTGAAGGTATAATAAATTATTAGATGTTGAACTAATTTGTTGAGTAAATTCAAAATTTTGTACTATCCACTCTGACTTATTTTCAATTAAAAATTTTTGTAAATAATTAATTAGTTCTTGAAGATGAAGGTTATCTGCGGCGGCCAAAATTTTAAGAAAATCTGAAGTATCATGCTCATTCAACGAAAGAATACCACCATAAATATATCTGTATTACAAAATTTAATAAATATTAGAAATAATATATTATCCACCATAATTCATATTAAATTTACTTACTCTAAAATAATTTGAAATATTTCTGGTGAAATATTTGGTAATTTAATATGAGTTAATACGTTATCGTTGTTCTTTTTATTAGAAGATAAAATTCGTCGTAAATACGGAGAACGGTAACACAAAATATTCATGTGAGCACGAAATATTTTTACGTTAGGATCTTCACCAACTTCAATTGTAATATCATAGTATTCATCATCTTTTAATAATTCAATATAATTTTGACTTAATTTCGAAAAAAATTGAGTAGACATTTTTTTACTTTAAAATACGGAAGAATGAGGATATTTATAATTAGTTCAAATATGGTCAAATTAAATATTGACGGCCAGGCACGCCAACATGCAGCTTGTGTTACGCAGATCAGTTTCGAATAGCGTTATTTTACCTTATTTAAAATTTTATTGGGATGTCAACGGCCTGTCATTGTCAATCATCAGTCGGTCATAACCGGTCAAGAACTTTGACCGACAGATATCGGTCACGGTCATGACCAGATTGACCAGTCATTGTTACCATCCCTAAATTAATATCAAGCATATAATTTTGATAATATTTTGCATAGGTATATTTACGAAAGTATTTTTTCGTTAAATGGGTAAGAAACTTCAGAAAGTTTTTAAATTTTACTAGCTGCAGATGAGCTGTTACTTCAAGAATTAGTTGATTAGTTACAAGAATATTTGATTGAAATCTTTCAGGATGGAGAAAATGGATTGCGTGAAGAACTAAATATACCTAATACTAATAAAGAAGTTAATAATATGGAATTTAATCCTATTGACATAGTTGATGATATTTTAAATACTAGATAATAGTAAATTGTTTACATGCTATCATTTTGAATTTATATCCTTCGTTTATTTACTATTAATAGAAAATTGCATATAGAAAAATGTTAAATAATGCTGTTAATTAAAAGAAGCAGTAATTGTTATTATTTTTAATTAAATATAAATAATAAAAAATATGCCAATTTATTTAATATTTTTATTTGTTTTAATTATTTAGTTATTTTTTTTAATTACGTCATCAAAACTGTATAAAGTTACGTCCATGATGTTACGTCACTTGAGACGCATTACTATTAAAAGTTTGCACCACTAATATAAACTTCAGTACCGTAAGTACCGTAAAAAGACTAAAAAGCATACTATCATTTTAAGACGCAATTAATTTATATTATATAATTTGAGGCGTAATCAGTATTAATATTTATGATAGATTATATAATTACTATAAATTAATAAAAAGGCAAGATTATTAAGGTGGCGAGAGATTGAGTATCATATTTGTTTTTTTATTAAACTATCACACGAAACTTAATATTTAAACGTTCTTTTGTTTGAATTAGGACTATCGATTTTATAAATTAGTAATGGATTTTTTGTTCCTATTTTACGTGAAGTTTTGCAAATGTAGATTTTTATAATTTTGAATGACATATTTGACATGTCTTTCAAAAATATTTTAATAATCACCTCTAACATAAAGGGACAATTTCGCCAATGAAATCAATAAATGAGCGGTTCTGCGGTTGTAATAAAAAATTTATTTCAATGTTAAATCTTTGCTATATATGTATAAAATGAAAAATGTAGAATTTTTAAAACTTAGCAACATCATTATTACATTTATCTCAAAATTTGAAATATTTCATAATCTTCTATAGACAAATGTTCTTCAGTATCTCTTATCTCTCTTATCTTTTTTTCATAAATTTTTTTTCTATAACAAAGTGTACTATAATCAGTAGATATAGGAAACTTCATATAAAAGTTCATGCAGATCATTGCACGGTGAACATGTGGCTCGGTTTACGGAGTATTGATTAAATAGTCCTTTTTAGTAACGTTGTTCAGAAGATATGAATATCGTTAAAATTAATAAAGAAATACGTTTATCTTGCTAAAATTTTCGAAAATAATCTAAATGGAACTAAATTTAGCAAATTAGATAGAGATTGTGACCGTTTGGATTTTGGAATGATTGAAGAATGGACCAGCGGAATTTTTGATTTTCGGAAGTTTATAAAAAAATACAATATATAATGCAAGAAATGGAATAGAAAATATTTAGAATGGATAAATTTACGAATATATAAAACTGAAGAAGTTATTTTCAAAGTCGAGGGCGTCAGGTGACAGCTGACGTGCATCACCTGAATCGCATAATTTTTATTACTTTTAATTCTATAAATAAACTTATATATGTATGTATATTCTCATGATAATTATCCGTCTGTCACAATACATCACAAGGAAATTTAATTTTTCAAGTATGTATATTCGTGATTTTCATCACGAGACGAAACTAAATCACATGATGATTGGCTGCGTAATCGTTACCATTTTAGTCAATTCCATTGTACAACACGCCACAAAACAAATAAAGTAATATTTAAATACATTTTACGTACTTTAAAAGAAATATTCCTTTTTTTTTTTTTTTAAAAAAAAAAAAAAAAATTGAAAAAAAAAATGTCAAAATTAAATAGAGATGTTTTTTATATGATATTTGAAGAATTACAATATGATAAAAAGTCACTTTATTCATGCCTTTTAGCTAATAAAATATTTTGTGAAATTATTATTCCAATTTTATGGAAAAATCCTTGGGATCAATTAAAACCGGAAAATGAGAAATTATTATTAAACGTAATTTTTTCTCACTTATCAAATGAATCAAAAAACGAATTTAAGAATCAAGGAATTAATTTTTTTACAACTTTGGATCAAAAACCTTTATTTGATTACATTAGTTTTTGTAAACACTTAAATTTAAATGTAATTTTTAAAATTATTGATAATGCTTATAATATTTTTAAAAAACATTTAACAATTATTAAAAAAGAATTAATCACTCTTTTTACTAATAGAAATATTAAGTTTACACACATTTATATACCTCAAGCATATAATTGTCAATTACATCTTCTTCCTGGGAATCAACATCTCTTTTCAGGACTAGAATTTCTTAATTGTAGTACTGCCATAAATAAGAATGATCTGTTATGGTTAAAAGAAGTTTGTCAATCTATTAAAGAATTGGATCTAATTATTGAAAAATCTAAAAGTAATCCTACTGAAATTGCCAAATTGATTGAAGGTCAGAAAAAAGTAATTAAAGTCAGTTTTAGGGTAATTAATAAGAAAAATAGTGAATTATATTTTGAAATTCTTGAAAATTCATTGGTTAAACATGCAAATACTATTCAACATTTTCGGACAACTAAACCTCCTGTCACTAAAATTCTTTCATCTTTTGTAAATCTAAAAAGTTTGGAATTGGACAATTACTTTAATGAAAAAGTATTGAATTGTTTAGAAGATTTATCCTTACCTTTATTAGAAAATTTAAAAGCTAGTCGTGTTCCAATTAAAGCTTTAACAGAATTAATTAATAATACAAATGGATATCTTACTGAAGTCAAGATTGATTATGTGGCTCATAATAAGTTCGATAATAAAAAACTTATCCAGGCTATATATCAGAATTGTCCAAATCTTAAATATCTTAAATTAATGTTTAGAAGTGGTGATATTTTTGAATTAGAAAATTTATTAATTAGATGCCAACATTTAAAAGGATTAGTTATAATTATTGACAATGAAGACTTTTTGTCTAATTGGGATAATTTGTTCAAAGTATTAATGAATTCATCACCAATTGGGTTATTCAAATTTAAATTTTGGTTAAATGTTTCTTATACAATTGATTTAGAGTCCTTAAAATTCTTTTTTGATAATTGGAAAGAAAGACCACCTATTTTATTACAAATAATTTCAGTGATAACAAGTGTAAGTTTAGATGGTTTAATTAAAAAGTATATTGCAGAAGGAATAGTTGCAAAATATGATAATAGTTATGTTCATAATTTGAGTGGGAGTTCTCTTGATCATTTTGAATGGATTTAAATATCTTTTAAAAATAATTTCATCTTTTTATTTTGTGTTTACTGAAGTATTGGGTTCAATTTTAAATATAAATAAATGAATGATTATCTCCTAAAAATATAAATACAATGAAATTTTCAATAGTTCCCTTACGTTTATATGTAACCTCTATTTCTCTCATTGATAATCAAAGGTTATAATATAAAAATACTGCTATGTAATAGATCAACTGAAATGGTTGATAATCTTTTTTTTTATATACTGTAAAACGGTAAAAATTTTTATTAAAAAAATAAGATATATAAAAATATTTTTATAACCTGGCTTACACTTTTACACATGAATTAATAAAATGTAATGGGTTTACCTTTAATTTTTTCTTTTTTATTGATTTTTTAGTACATTGTTAACGTTCCTTTTCTCTTAGGAACTTAAATTTGACGAAAAGGTAGGAAGTGTTGTGATTTTTTTACTGTGGGAACGTAACTGACGTTCCTTTGCTCTTCTTTCTTTAATAACATCTTCGGGCTTAAAATTGAACTTAGATGAATTCGGCGAAATGGCAGGTTACAGAGGGTATGCTGTGTTTTTTATTGTGAGCATAACCAACGTTCTTTTTCATTTTTTTTCCTATAGGGATGGCTTTTAGACTTTGATTTTGGCCTTCCCTTGGAATGAAATATTTGGTAGGTTTAGTTGGATGAGTTTGTGGTTGTATAATGCATGAGACAATTATTCTTTTATTTTTAGGCAAAATTCAAGCCAACTTGTGTGGAACTTTAGCCATCATATGATGAATTTTTGGTAAGAAATATTTTTATTTATTAATGTTTTTATATTACAAGTAATTTGTTTTGATAGCGTATCTGTATTTATTCTAATTACATAATCAACTCATAAACTTTGATTCATAAATGTAATTTTCAGATTCTCTTGAAGGTGCCATTTTTTGAATTTGCAAGCTTTTATCTTTGCCAAAGAAACCGTTACACAATTAATATCAAAGATATGTTTTGTTACCAAATGAATACTTGTTTTGTTTTTGTTATCTGTTTGAGAAAATAATACTAGGATTCCTTATATACCGTATATAGGTTACAATACAAATAATTGGTCAAATGTCTTCTCTATTAGTTTGCATGTGAAAAATATGTATTTTTTTAAGGCAATATAAAATTATTTACTAAAGCTTTACAATTTCAAAAGAAGAATTTACTAAATTTTTATGAAAACACAAATTCAATAATATATTTTTATAACTAATTTGATTCACCTTAATATTTTTCATAGACGACTTTCGAGACTGTATGAAACTAAATCATGTTCAAATATTTGAAGTTTCCCGATAATTTTCAATTTGGTTATTACTTGGTTTTAATTTTAAAAGTTTTTGTAATGTAAACCAAAATTAAACCAATCAAATTTAAACCTTCTCATAAATGCATACATATTTTTTTATTTTTAAGTTTTATTGCTGAATTTGATTTGTAACATTTTGTGTGATTATATATTGTACGCTTATGCGCTATTCTTAATATATTTATGCTCATACCTACATAATTCGTACGGTCAAAAAATTGGCAACTTTCTGCCTCGGTTACATCAAAAAGGTTGCTTGTTCTTACTATACTTATGCTTATGCGACAAAAGTAATCAGAATTTTGTGTTATTAGAAATAAAATGAGTTTTATATTAAATTTTCATTGCTATTTATTTTATTCAATAACTCCAAAATCAAAATTAAATTTCTTTATTGATTGGCGTAATTTACAATAGCAGATCATTATTTAATTTAACCATATCTCTGAAACAATTATAAATATTGTCTTTCCACAATTTAAACCTTATTTTTTTTTTTAAAAAAAAAAAAAAAATGACTATGCATCAAAAAAAATTTTTTAACAAAATTTTCTTTTTGAAAGCGAAAATGTCAAAGTCGCAAAAGATAACGATAATGATAATGTCGAAGATGAGAATGCAACTAAACTTTTTGTAACTCCTACTTGGGGATAAACGAATATGATGATATTTTTGCAAAGGAGGATAGCTTTAACGTTAACATTGATGATTATGTGAACTTTAATGATGTTGAGGATGTTGATACGGAAGTTGTGAAAGTTGTTGAGGAGGAAGCAAAAAATTGTAAATACCAAAAAAAACTTCCAATTAAATTTAAGAGTTAAAGCCGGATAGTGCATGGACAAGTGAACATGATATTATAGTGGAAAAGTATAGTGATGAGGGGATAATAATTTTGTGGATTGTTTTCAAGTTTCAAATTATTCATTTGAACCTACATGTAAAAACAACTAATTGTACTGCAATCTCATCAAGCCTGTTGTTTCATAATGAAGATTTTCTGTTTTTCTTTATCATCAACACAATCGAGTGGGTGCATTATTGGACCCATGATATAAAATCTTGATTTTATATCTGATAGAATCTAAAAAAAAATTTAGTCTACTTTAAGAGAACAGTATGATCAATTAAAATGGAATATAAGTCAATAAAGTGCTTTATTACTACTTACAACTATTACTTCAACTGTTTACTAATAAAAGTTTAACTGATAAAAGTTCTACTACTTCAAGTATATCTTTATATAATTATAGAGCAAGATGTAAACAAAAAAAAATAAATATTTCAACAAACAAAAATATCTGGACCATCAGCAATGAGGATGAAGTTAATAAGTTATTTTTTTATGCCAATTGCCAGGAAAAATAAAAATCCATTAGATGATGTAGAAAGCTTTTCAGTGATTATCTTATTAAATACTTAGAAAATGCAAAGGTAGTAGAAATACCTAAGAAAATCATATTATAGCAAAAATAAATTCATCAGATCCTGATTTATTATAAAATATGCAACAATAGATTATATTAATGTATTTTCCTAGATTTAGATATGGAAAAAGTAACTTTTACAAAGGAATTTTGTCTGAATATTAGTTGGAAGTGTAGTAAATAAGCATGTTTTTATTTTAAATAAATAAATTTGGTATAGATGATAAAGAACATATTAGTACAAAAGCACTTTTTTATTTGTTATTGTTAACGCAATTTAGAATCCTGAAAGACAAAGCACTGAAGAAGATTATAAGGAACCAGAAAAGAGGACAATGTTATAAATTTATCACTGAAATGGAAAAATCACATTAAAAAATATACTTTTAATATTAATTATAAGAATAAAGATTACACAGTTTGACAAATTGAAGAAATCAAGATTTATTTAAACATCACAAGAATATTTCAAAACTAATAATAATTTTCTATGGAATATTTTATGTAAGGATAAAAATCAAGGTGTAATAGATTGATATATTACAATTGAATCTACATGTAGAATTGTTTAAAGTTGTTGCACATGGTGATGATATGGTAACAATTATGTGGATAAATTAGAAATTGATATATTATCTTTAAGCATAATGCAAGTGTAATAAAATTCTTTCTAAATGGAATGGTATTCTTACAGAAAACTGATTAAGATCATTTATCAAAACAGTTAGTAATTTTAAAGGCATGGAAAAATTCTTAATTTAAATAAAAATTTAAAGTATAGACATTTGGAAGTTGATTGGACTTCTACTTTTCAATGTCTTAATTGTGATATACAGAAAAATGAAACTTCAGTTTCATCCTCAAAAGTTAAAGCGCCAAAGATCCATTTATCAATCTAAATGAAAAAATCATTTCTTGAAATTTAGAAATGACTTTGTGGATTGGATGACAAAACTTTAATCACATGTGGTCATGTGATGAACATCATGACATTATTAAAGATATAGTAAGAGATAGAACTATTAATCATTTGTTGACATGGCTTCTGGAATATAATGACAATATTCAAGATTTTAATTCTGATAATGATGATTATGTAATACCTTTAATATCAGTAAAAAGCTGCCCTATAAAAAAAAATTTCTTTAAAATGTACTTAAAATATACTTATATATTTTTAAAATATATCTAAAATATACTTAACATTTTAAAATATACTTAAAATATACTTAAAATTGCGATTTTAAGTATATTTAAAGTGTAAAATTTTGTACTTAAATTATACTTAAATTATATTTAAATTGCAATTAAGTAAATTTTAAATATAATTTAAGTATAAAATTTCATACTTTAAATATACTTAAAATTGCAATTTTAAGTATATTTTAAGTACATTTAAAAATTTTAAGTACATTTTAGATATATTTTAAAATATATAAGTACATTTTAAGTATATTTTAAAGAATTTTTTTTTTCATAGGGCTGTTAATTTATTAGAAACATATATCAACTATTTTGAATAACAAGATGATGATTTTAATTTTAAACAATTTGCAAATTTTTAAAAAATATTTACTTTAATTAATCTTAATATATGGAAATAGCATATAATCCTAATTTCTTTACATTTATTGACTTAATCAAAGGCATTATTCCACTATCTCTTTCTCAGCTTGTAAACTCAGACTACAAAAAAATAATGCTACTAGTGTTTTAGTGCAAATGGGACAGTTTATTTTTGAAGAAATATTTGCAAAATGTTTAGCTTCCTAGGTGAAAGACTTTGATTGATCTTTGGGTATTACAAAAACAAAAAAATTGCAATTTAAAAATGTTTGTTCCTTTACCTAGTAATAATATTAATAGAACAAATAATAATGATCATCAATATGATGCATTAGATATTATTCATAATTATATATACTTTGGTAAAAATATTATTGAATTTTATACTAATTTGCTTCATAGTGCCAATGTAGATTTTAGTTTTTAGCTTGTATAATTTTATAGGGTTGAATTACTTTCTTCTGCAGGTGGGCTTCAACTTACCAAGCATTAGCTAGTGTATGGGAAGTAGTGAGTTAGTTATGGATTTTAAAATGTAGTTGGTTATGTTTTAAATAGTTTCACTTTTAACTACTTCACCATCGAAGTAGATTTTCTCTTCTTTTAGCTTAGTTTATTTGTTTATTTACTTTTACAATTTTGTTTTGTTTATAAATTTGTGTATATGCTAACTATATGCTAACTATTACTGTTTAATAAAAATAAAAAATAAAAATTATGAGAATAAAGATAAAGCCGAAAAAAATACAACTTTGAATCAATAGTGAAATTCTAATAGGTATCTATATAATATAGAAAATCCCTGGTAAAAAGTCAGACCACTTTATTTATTATCACCAATCATTACTATTTTTTAATGTATCATTACTCTTTAATCCACACAATCCATTGAGCTGCCCTTTATCATGATGCTGTGCAAACTCAAATTTTATATTTAAAAGCAGCCATTATGATCAAGACTTAAGAAAAATCAGTCTAAAAGACTCTAATGTGTTGAAAATTATGATCATCATACCAAGACTATGAAGTATAAATAAACAATATATTTTTTCTCATTGACCATTCGGAAAATTCAGAAAATCGTCGAAAGTTGAATATTATAAAGGGCGGACATAGGTAGAGTTTTTGTGTGGATTTTGTAGTTAACAATAATATTATTACAGAAAGCCGAGTTAACAGTATTCTTTTGTTTAAAAATAAACCATTTCTTAATAAAACACACTACGTTTTTTATTACAAATCTGAAATGTGTCAAATTGATGGCGCAGCCGCAGCACCCATCACATTTGAAAAAGTCATTCTGATTAGTCAAATGTGGTCACTCGTGTGACCTAAAATTACGTAACATTAATTCACCTTTTTTAATAAATATCCTGTCGGAGAATCAAAAATCTAATGAATCATTTTTTTCGTGTATTGATAAATTACTTTTTTTCTATATTATTTGCTGTATTACGTCTCTACAAGTCACCAAAAGTTTAAAAGAATCTATGTCACGATGTATTCAGAAAGTATATATATATGATCTTCCTTCTTTTATTTTATAAACAAACTTAAAGATAATTTCCTGTCACTGTAAACTCTAAAAATTTCCTCGGACATACCCTCGACATATAACGCGACACCATTCCATAATCATGAATGCTCCAAGTACTAACCAAATACAAAATGTATTGAAGAAGAGGATTGAAGTCTTAAAAAACGAAACTTCTGACCTTATGGAAGATATTGAAGGACATATTATTGACGGAAATAGTAATGAATGTTTAAGTAACTTAGGAAAACTAAAGGATACGCTGGAAAACACTTATGAAATGGTGGACAGACTCTCCAACTGTATAGATGAGTTGGAGAGGAAAGTAAATGAACTAGAACAGGAAATTAACAACTTAAAAGATGAAGTAAATAAAACGAAATTTTTTAGTGTCTATAGAATCTGGATAAGAACATTTATGAACGAGGTAATAACGAAGCTAGGAGGTGGAGAAAAATGGCGTCTTGCGGAAAACGGTCTCCAATATCTCAGTAATAATATGGTATTGACAAAGGAGGAAAAAGTATGTGTTGAAAATTTAAAAAAATTATTAGAAGATAAAGACATCGGAATGGATATCAAAGATATAAAGGTATTACAAGAGGCGAGGGAAAGAAGTAACAGTATGTTTCATAAGAATAATCAAAGTCTGAAAGAAGCCGAGATGAAACTACGAGAACCGATTCCTAATGACATCATGATATATAAGCCTCCATTAAAAAAAGCCCTTAAGGCAATTAAAAAATGGCGGCCTGATTCTTAAATTTTATAAAAACATAGTTGTAATATTTTAATTTTTATAAATTAAAATACTTTCTTTTATTTGCGAAACTTCTTTTTTTAAGAAAATTTGATCATAGTATTATGTAATATTACAATACTGTATAAGTAATCCGCAACATGATTATCTCTATATAGTTTTCACGCCTTTACGGCTATACTTTATCAGAACTTAATAGTTGTAACTTCAAGGAATCCTAAATAGCATAGTAAATTAAGCAAATTTTTATATACCGCTAGCAAACTATTTATTTTTATAATATTCATAAAATATATATATATATATAGAAATTTATTAAAATTGTAAAATTTAATAAAAAATTTTCCAATAAATTTTCAATCAATTTTTTATAAAAAAAAGATCTCTAATGAAATTTTTTATTAAGAAAAAAAAATTTCAAGCCAAAATTCTCGATACCCTTATTAAAAAAACTATTTTCAATAAAATTTTCTATTAAGACTTCTAAACAAAATTCTCCATCAAAAAAAACTTTTCAACCAACAATTCTCTATTGAAATTCTCAATCAAAAAAACTCCCCTCCTATTGAAAAAAAATTCTTTACGGAAATTCTCTAAAAAAAAAATCTCCCTGTTAAAAAAATTTACTAACGAAATGATTTATCAAAAAAAANATTAAGACTTCTAAACAAAATTCTCCATCAAAAATCTCTAAAAAAAAAATCTCCCTGTTAAAAAAATTTACTAACGAAATGATTTATCAAAAAAAAAAAAAAATCTTACCATTAAAAAATTCTCAGTGAAATCATTTATCTTTATCTTCCTATTAAAGAAAAATTCTTTAATGAAATTCTCTATCAAAAACAATCCCTCTATTAAAAAAAATTCTCTAATAAAATTTTCCGTCAAAAATACTTTCACCTACTAAAAAAATTCCCAAAAGAAATTCTTTATCAAGGAAAACTCACTCCTATTAAAAAAAAATTCTTAACGAAATTCTCTATTAAAAAAAATCTAGAAAATTTTTTAACAAGTATCTATTAAAAAAAAATCTTCCCTATTAAAAATTCTCCATAGAATTTTCTATGAATTCTCTATCAAAAAAACTCAAAAATGTTCCTATCAATAAAAAAAAATCTCTAACGAAATTTTTATCAAAAAAAAATCCTTTTCATTAAAAAAATTCCCAAAGAATTTCTATCAAAAAAAAGCCTTTGCCTGTATTAAAAATAAAAATTCTCTACAAAAATTGTTTTATAAAAAAAAAAAGTCAACAAAAAAAAAAATTCTTCGTGTAAAATTTAAAAAAAAAAAAATTTTTAAAACTACGCTGAACTTAAAAACGTGATTGACAAAAACATCAAGCACAGACGGACAAAAATATAAAGCATAGATGGATAAGAACATCAAGATAATAGCATCAAGCACGGTTTTTAAACCGGCAAAATTTGGATATCCAAAAAAGATCCGGATCAACCCTCACTACTCTTAAAAATTTTTGTTCATCCAAATTATTCAAAAATATTCAATAGACCGTTAATGTTTAAAGTTCAATGTCCATTTCCGTATAAGAGATTCTAGCGAATTTAACTGAACAAATAATTCGAAATCACGTAATAATGACATAAAAATCAAAAATTAAATGTTAATAAAATTCTATATAAAAATTTCGTAACATTAAAATAGTATATTTAATAGATCGTAAGTTATAAGTTATTTATTTATTTATCAAATTTACTTTTAGTTAGTATTTCAGTTATTAGTAATAGAGGAATTAAATATCAGAAGATTAACTATTGGTGACTGTCAACATATTGACCGATTGATAATTGTACTATGGACAATTTAACCATTCAGAAAAATTCAGAAATTTATTGAAAGAATCGAAAGTTATATTATAAAGGGCGGACATAGGTAGATTTTTTGTGTGGCTTTTATAGTTAACAATAATAATATGATAGATAGCACAAATATTACAGAGCGCCAAGTTAGCAGTATTCTTTTGTTTGAAAATAAAATCCTCTAGCCATTTCTAATTTCTTAATAAAACCCTGTTATTTTTATTTATAAACATTTAGTTACTAATGGCTTTATATCGATTATAATTAATTTGTTCTGTTACTACTTTCCGATAGTGATCGCTAATAATCCCTAAGATGTATCATTCTTAAACGATTTTAATCACGTTTGTTTTCATTTAAACTAAGTATAAGATTTTATTTATTCCAGTTAGATATATAAGAAAAGATAAAATAAAAAATTATTTGCTTAAAATTTTAAACTATCCCCTTATGATTTGAAATACTTCATAATCTTCTATAGAAAATCTAGTTTCAGTATCTCTTATCTTTTTTTCATAATGATTTTTCATATAGTGAAATGTATTATAATCAGTAGATTCATTGGAGGAATATATAAAAATATCACGGCCAAATTGTGGTCCAAATCTAGGACTATAAACTACTGCATGATTTTTATCTTGTACATTACTAATGATTGAATTATTAACATCGTTATTTTTAAAAGAAAAAATAAAACTGTCTTTAGTTTCACCCCAAGTACCAGAAGATTTCCATATTATAGGATTGTATCCACCAACAAACTCCTCTGTTCCTTCTATTTTAATAAAAGTAACAGTATTAGGTTTATTATCACATAATTCATGAAATTTTTTAGCTGTAAATCCATCCCGACTTCCTCTTAGTAATAATTTAAATTTATATGATTCTTTCAAATGTGCAAAATTATTTCTGACATCCATCTTATCAATTTGTCTGGAAATAGTTTTAACAATACCAAAACTAGTAACAATTTTTGAATCAATAATTTTCTCAATTTTAATATTTCTAGGAAGTAAAACATTTTCATTTGGTTTACTATCAGGATCCATAAAAGAGTCTACTAAATTTTCATAAAGTTCTCGTTTCAAGACTTTTTGGTACGGCCGAACTTTTTGTGAGAACTCTCTAGATGATAAACTAAAAAATCTAATTAAAGGCAAACAGTTTTGTAAAGTATTTTTCATTGTCTCGAAATCATCATCTGACCAAGTTTCAGGATCTAGAATGAGAGTTGGATTTTGTGCAAGACCCCATTTTAATACATGTTCCCATATTTCAGCCTCTTTCATTTGTAAATCATCCTTTTTAATAAGTGAGATTAAAGATCTTTCAGAAAGTGAGGTAAAGTTAAATGATAAAAGTATTTTTTCGGGAAATTGAGCCATTAAATTCGTACAAAATTCTAAATTATTGGAATTTGAGATAATTTGTTTAGTAAATCCAAAATTTTGTACTATCCATTCAGATTCATTTTCAATCAAATATTTTTGTAAATAATCAACTAGTTCTTGAAGATTAAGCTTATCTGCGGCGGCCAAAATTTTAAGAAAGTCAGTGTCATCCACATTTAATGAAAGAATACCGCCATAAATATACCTATATTACAAAAATTTAATAAATATGGAAATAATATATTATTCTAAGCTACTGTATATTAAATTAACTTCATAACTTACTCTAAAATAATTTGAAAATTTTCCGGTGATATATTTGGTAATCTGATATGAACTAAATTATTATTATTGTTCCTGTTGTTGGAAGCTAATATTCGACGTAAATATGAAGAACGATAACACAAAATATTCTTATGAGCTCGAAATATTCTTACGTTAGGATCATCACCAACTTCAATTGTTACATCATAATATTCATCATCATTCAATAATTCAATGTAATTCTGACTTAATTTCGAAAGAAATTGAACCGACATTTTTTTTTTATTTTAAAATACGGGAAAGAATGAGAATATTCAAATATGGTCAAAATTATGCACATAATATACGCCAGCCTGCAGATTTTTTTTACCGTACTTACCAAATTAATATAGTTGTTGGGTACATCACCGCAGTTCGGATGATATTTTAACCACCATACCAATAACTGTGTTATTATTGCAAAGACGTCCAAGATCGTATTCCATATAAAAAATAATAAATAACTGCAATATTATTTATTAGCATAGTACCCTATAAAAAATTTTTATCCGAGTATTTTCATTATTTCTCCGTGGCTTTCGTAAAAACTCTGTGAAATGATAGATATTCGTGTTAGAGAGATGAAATTTTTTATGATTTAAGACTATAAATTCCATGAAAATGATACATTCACGGAAAAAAACAAGGAAATATAAAACACGGATCCGCATTTTTACAGGGTAAACAATGGGTATTTACTATAAATTAAACTAAATGGCGTAATGCGTCAAAAATATTAAAGATATTTATGGCAATAATAATTTATCTAAAAAATATCAGTATATTAAAAATGACATGATCATAATTGGCTGCATAGTGACAAAAATATATTATTAATAGAGAATTACAGTATATACGTTTACTTATCTTCGTGTAAGATTATTCCAACAAAGATGTGTATTTATTTTCACAGGAGCAGCATATCTAAGAATTTCGCTCTTTCAGTGGAAAAATGTCACTATAAAGTACATTTCTAATTATAGTAGATAAGTAATTAAGAAAAATTGATTTATTTTCGGGGATTTATACTTATATTTATAATGATTTAGATTTTATAAATATTTAAATCTAACTATGATATGTATAATTAAATATAGTCAAAATATAACAAATTAAATTAACCTAAGTTGATTAAATTTTAATTTCTTTAATAATATTTTCAGCTGTATGCTTATGCTTACATATGCATATTCTGGAATAAGCATATGTCAATTATGTCATGATGACTAAATTCTATATAAAAAATAGGATTGGGCAATAGCAGATCATTTACTATTTAATTTTCCCATTTTTACGAAATTATCATAAACATTCTCTTTTTTCCGTATTTTATATAAATTGGGAATAAAATGGCTGTTCAATTTTTTACGAAATTGAGCCAAAACTACATTGAATTATTGAAAGATGATGAATATTATGATATTATAATTGAAGTTGGTGAAGATCCTAACGTAAAAATATTTCGTGCTCATAAGAATATTTTGTGCTACCGTTCTCCATATTTACGACGAATTTTAGCTTCCAACAAAAAGAACAATGATAATATATTAGCTCACATAAAATTACCAAAAATTTCACCAGAAATATTTCAAATAATTTTAGAGTAAGTTATAAAATGCCAATATACCCTAAAATAAATCATATACAATTTCTAATATTATATTTTTAATACAGTTATATTTATGGTGGTATACTTTCGTTAAATATGCATAATACTTCAAAAGACTTTCTTAATGTTTTGGTCGCTGCAGATAGCCTTCATCTTCAAGAACTGGTTGATTATTTACAAAAATATTTAATTAATAATAAAACCGAATTGATAGAACAAAATTTCGGATTAACTCAAAAAATTATTTTACAATCTAATAATTTATTAGAACTACAAGAATTTTGTATAAATTTTATGGCTCAATCACCTGAAAAAATATTCAAGTCTTTTGATTTCACTTTACTTTCTGAAAAATCTTTAATTTCACTTATTAAAATGGATGATTTACAAATGAAAGAAATTGAGGTATGGGAACATGTCTTAAAATGGGGACTTGCACAAAATCCAACTCTCATTCCAGATCCTAGTATTTGGTCAGATGATGATTTCAAAAAAATGAAAAATACTCTACAACATATTTTACCTTCAATTAGATTTTTTAGTTTATCATCTAAAGAATTCTTGAAAAAAGTTCGTCCCTATAAAAAACTTTTAAATGATCAGCTCTATGAAGATATAGTAAATTCTCATATGGATCCTGATAGTGAACCAGCCAATAACATTTCACCTCCTAGAAATATTAAAAATGAAAAAATTATTGATTCAAAAATTGTCAATTTAGATATAGTTTCAATGGTTTCAAAATGGATTGATAAAACAGTTATTATTAATAATAGTAAATATGATCATTTAAGAGAATTATATTTACCATACGAATTCAAATTATTATTAAGAGGAAGTCGAGATGGATTTACTCCTAAAAAATTTCATGAATTATGTGATGGTAAACATAACACTGTTACTTTCATTAAAATAGAAGGAACCGAAGAAATACTTGGTGGATATAATCCTTTAAAATGGGAATCTACCAATAGTTATGGTAAAACTGAAGATAGCTTTATTTTTTCTTTTAAAAATAAGCATATTAAAGATGTAATTATTAGTAAAGTAAAAGATAAAAATTATGCAATATTTTATAAATATGAACATGGTCCACAATTTGGTGGTGATATTGTTATGTCTTCTTCTAATGAATTTATAGATTATGAGACAATTTCTTATCAACAAGATGATTATGAAAAGAAATTTTCTATGGAAGATTATGAAGTATTTCAGATAATTAAGAAATAATTTCTAAATTATGATTATATTGTAAATTGTGAAAGTTTTAGTATATTATATTATTACGTGAGCTATATTTTTTTGTAAAATGAATTATTTTTATCTTTGATTAAACGTCAGTTTATATTTCATACTATTATATTTATAAAGGTATAATCAATTACAAATTTAATAATTATTCATGCAAAGAGTAATTAAAATGTTAAAATGTTGTATTGAAATTTTTGCGAGTATAAATATTTAACTTTTTCAACGTAGGATCACGTGATTAGGTAATTAACATATGGTGGATTTTCTCTCAAAATCTTATTTTTAAGATATTCTGTTATATAACTCAAATACACAATTAATAAATTTAAACTTACCATATTTCAACGGTGAAAAAATGATTAGAAACAGATGACAAATTCAAAATTACATTGGACAGTTTTAGGAGATTCCGATCATGCGTTTGCGTTTGTACTACTGCGTGTCTGCGCGACTCATTATCTCTAACGTTATATTTAATGCAATAGTATTTATTAATCACTGAGGTTTCACTACAATTAAAATAAGTAAATATTAAACTTCATTAATTTAGTTACACAATATTTAAACCTTTTATAACCAGATTCATAATCATAAAAATGTTCTTATGTCTTTAGACTTGCTGGTAAAGGTTGAAAATTCTCAAAACATTTTCGATACATGCATATAACGGTTTCCTTTAGAAAACACGTTTCAGTGTCCATTTGCTTGGTACTTAACAGAATAAGAAATACCCAATCATTGGGAAAATATATGTTTTTCTTTTTTTTTTGTGCCATGAATTGTACAAGATGGTCGCATGTAAGGATTTTGAAGATGTTGGAGCATTATCGTCCACCTGTGGTTTCCGAACGAAATTATATTTTTCTAAGTGTTTCTGGTGAGTGACACAAGCATGTCTGTTGCAGGACATGATAAAAGGACTGGGTACATTACACATGTATACACAATTAGGATTAAATTCATAAACACCGGCAAGGTATAAATAAACCAAAATAAAATGATATCGTTTGTATGAAAAATTAAAAAAAGTTTTTGTATGTGTTTTGGCGATGATGTTGATCACCACATAAAACCATATTAAACATTGTTTTTTGTGTATTGATAAATTGCTTTTTTTACTATAAGTATCTATATTATTTGCTGTATTACGTCACTACAAGTCACCAAAAGTTTAAAAGAGTCTATGTCACGATGTATTCAAAAAGTATATATATAATCTTCCTTCTTTTATTGTATAAACAAACTAAAGATAATTTCCTGTCACTGTAAACTCTAAATTTAAAATTTCATCAGAACAAACTAAATACAAAATGTATTGAAGAAGAGGATTGAAGTCTTAAAAAACGAAACTTCGGACCTTATGGGAGATATTGAAGGACATATTATTGACGGAAATATGAATGAATGTTTAAGTAACTTAGGAAAACTAAAGAATATGCTGAAAAATACTTATGAAATGGTGGACAGACTCTCTAACTGTAAAGATGAGTTAGGGAGGAAAATAAATGAACTAGAACAGGAAATTAACAACTTAAAAGATGAAGCAAATAAAACGAAATTTTTTAGTGCCTATAAAAGCTGGATAAGAATATTTATGAACGAGGTAATAACGAAGCTAGGAGATGGAGAAAAATGGCGTCTTGCGGAAAACGGTCTCCAATATCTCAGTAGTAATATGGTATTGACAAAGGAGGAAAAAGTATGTGTTGGAAATTTAAAGAAATAAATTATTAGAAGATAAAGATATGGAATGGATATCAAAGATATAAAGTTATTACAAAAGGCGAGGGAAAAAAGTAACAGTATGTTTCATAAGAATAATCAAAGTCTGAAAGAAGCCGAGATGAAACTAGTACGAGAACCGGTTTCTAATGACATCATGATATATAAGCCTCCATTAAAAAAAGCCCTTAAGGCAATTAAAAAATGGTGGCCTGATTCTTAAATTTTATAAAAATGTAGTTGTAATATTTTAATTTTTATAAATTAAAATACTTTCTTTTATTTGCGAAACTTATTTTTTTAAGAAAATTGGATAGTGTTATGTAATATTACAATACTGTATATACAATAAAGTAATCCGCAACATGATTATCTCTATATAATTATTTTTTACTGCTATACTTTATCAGAACTTAATATCGTAACTTCAAGGATCCTAAATAGCATAGTAAATTAAGCATAAAAACTATTTTCAATAAAATTTTCTATTAAGACTTCTAAACAAAATTTTCCATCAAAAAAATAAACAAACATTTTTCTAGTGAAATTCTCAATCAAAAAAAATATCCCCTATTAAAGAAAAATTTCTAACGAAAATCTTCCGTCATAAAACACATTTTCCCTATTAAAAAAAATTTTCAAAAGAATTTCTATCTCAAAAAAAAAACTTCCCTCCTATTAAAAAAAATTCTTTACCGAAATTCTCTATAAAAAAAAATCTCCCCTGTTAAAATAATTTACTAACGAAATGGTCTATCAAAAAAAAAATCTTACCATTAAAAAAAAAAATTCTACTGTATAATGAAATTCCTATCAAAAAAAAATAAAAATTCTCAGCGAAATTATTTATCTTCCTATTAAAGAAAAATTCTTTATCATAATGAAATTCTCTATCAAAAACAATTCCCCTATTAAAAAAAAATTCTCTAATAAAATTCTACGTCAAAAAATACTTTCACCTATTAAAAAAAATTCCCAAAAGAAATTCTTTATCAAGGAAAACTCCCTTCTATTAAAAAAAAATTCTTAACGAAATTCTCTATCAAAAAAAAATCTCACTTGTTAAAAAAATTTTCCAACGAAATTATCTATCAAAAAAAAATCTTCCCAATTAAAAAAATTCTTCAGAGAATTTTCTATGAATTCTCTATAAAAAAAAAAATCTCTTCTGTTAAAAATTGTTCCAACAAATTAGGTGTCAAAAAAAAATCTTATTAAAAAAAATTCCCCAATGAAATTTCTATCAAATAAAATTCTTTAACGAAATTATTTATCAAAATAAAAAAAATTCTCCAACGAAATTTTTTATCAAAAAAAAATCTTTTTATTAAAAAAAGTTCCCAAAGAAATTCTATAAAAAAAAAAAGCCTTTGCATATATTAAAAATAAAAGCCAATAAAAAAAAAATTCTTCGTGTAAAATTTAAAAAAAAACTTTAAAACTACGCTAAATTTAAAAAACGTGATTGACAAAATATCAACCCTGTGCTGACAAAGAAACTAATTTTTTATCGAATATAGTCAAGTCGGATAAAATCATCAAGCACGTGATATATACACATCAAGCACGGACACTATAATGGATAAACATATGTCAATTATGTCATGAATCATGATGGCTAAATTCTATGTTAATCAAAAACTGATTAGGCGCCGGAAGGTTTTAGTAGAGTGGTTAGAAAGGGTAGGAGTAGATTAAAGAAGTAGTTTAGTATTGTTAATGTAGAAGCAATAGTTTTCATTTATTTTATCTTTGGTTATGTTTATCCGCGCCTTGGTTAGATAACCCATGGCTTTGGTATGGAGGGGTTCAGGATCGTATGATTCTGAATTTCAAGTATTAATGTTATGATTATTATGTATTGTGATGCGTTACTTTTACTAATAAATTAATAAATACGTTTACCAAAAAAAAAAAATAAAAAATAAAAAATATACTGATTATAATATACTGCGTATCGATAAAATATGTTAGTTTGCATTATTACTCATATAAAGTCAACGATATCACAGTATCTAATCTCTAATCCATAATTAATATTATCAATATTTTATCTAATCACGCGTGATACATAACAAAAATGAAATTCCGATAGTTACACAAGATCCTATTTCGGACAATAAAAAAAGTATACTGAAAAGTCTAAGTTATATGGAAAATTTGCAGGCGTAAGTATATAATGATTAAAATATGTTAGTTTGCATTATTACTCATATAAAATCAACGATATTACAGTATCTAATCTCATAATTAACATGTAAAGTATTATCAATATTTTATCTAATAAAAAAACTTACTAGTATAATATATCAAATTATTGTATATAAGATATATAAGATATGAAATTACTTTGATATTTTGTTATTAGATGACGTAAAGAGACATGATAACGATTCGGATCTACTCAGGTGGGATATGAAAGCAAAATGTTTTTTTTTAATTTTAGAAACTGTTTTGTTATTGAAATGATTAAAATACGCAGAAATCATTAAATAGAAAGTTATTTACTATAATCTTTATTTAAAGTAGTAGAAGCTATACAAAATAATATAAAAATAATATTCTCTTTAATTTATTGGATAAAAAAACTGCAATTATCCGTAGCAGGGCTTTGACATTTATCAAAATAGAAATAATTCCAAATTTTTGATATAACTCAATTCCTTGACAAATTTTAATTTATTCGGTGCCAATTTTATTTTTCTAATTTCTTTTTAAATTTATCCTTATTTCACGTGATAATTGTATACTACGGATGTAAAAAAGCTATTTCTCACAATATTTCAGTTCTGTGCAAATCTTGAATCGCATAACGAAGGCTCCACCATTACACAATCAATATGACGTGATACAATTCAATTTTGAAATACTTGCTTCGCCAGGATGACTTTAAGTTATNCAAAACTGTTTGCCTTTAATTAGATTTTTCAGTTTATCATCTAAAGAGTTCTCACAAAAAGTTCGACCATATCAAAAACTCTTGGATCAACAACAATATGAAGAATTATTAAGTTCTTATTTGGATCCCGGTAGTGTATTCAATATCAATATTTTACGACCAAGAAAAATTAAGATTAAAGAAATTAAAATTGATGATTCCCAAATTATTGATTCAAAAATCAATGATTCTCAAATTATTGATTCAAAAATTGTTAATTCTAATATTATTTCAATTGTTTCAAAATGGATTGATAAAGTGGTTACAAATGATAGGGAACCATATTTACCATATAAATTTTATTTAATATTAAGAGGAAGTCGAGATGGATTTACTCCTAAAAAATTTCATGAATTATGTGATGGTAAACATAACACTGTTACTTTCATTAAAATAAAAGGAACCAAAGAAATACTTGGTGGATATAATCCTTTAAAATGGGAATCTACCAATAGTTATGGTAAAACTGAAAATAGCTTTATTTTTACTTTTAAAAATAAGCATCATATTAAAAATGCAATTATTAGTAAAGTAAAAGATAAAAATTATGCGATATTTTATAAATATGAACATGGTCCACAATTTGGTGGTGACATTGTTATGTCTTCTTCTAATGAATTTATAGATTATGAGACAATTTCTTATCAACAAGATGATTATGAAAAGAAATTAAGAGATTCTGATGGTGTGTTTTCTATGGAAGATTATGAAGTATTTAAGATAGTTAAAAAATAATTTTGAATATTATCCAATTATTATTATATTGTAAATTGTGAAAGTTTTAGTATATTATATACAATACATGAGCTATATTTTTTTTGTAAAAATGAATTATTTTATCTTTGATGATTAAACGTTAGTATATTTCATACTATTATATTTATAAAGGTATAATCAATTACGAATTTAATAATTATTCATGCAAAGAGTAATTAAAATGTTAAAATGTTGTAAATGTTAAAGTATTGAAAATTTTTGCGAGTATAAATATTTAACTTTTTCAACGTAGGATCACGTGAGTAGGTAATTAGTAACATACGGTGGATTTTCTCTCAAAATCTTATTTTTAAGATATTCTGTTATATAGCTCAAATACACAATTAATAAATTTAAACTTCCCTTTGTTTCAAAGATGAAAAAAGATGATTAGAAACAGAACAAATTCAAAATTACATTGGACAACTTCGGGTGCTATGTGAGGAAGATTTCCATATATACTTGAAGATTTATTAGCAGGTCCACAAAATCCAAGATCACCAATATACCAGTAATGTAAATATAATATATTTCCAGAATATAAATCTCTATGAATTGCTTTCTCATCATGAATATAAATAATTGCATAAATTATTGCATAAGTAATATTTATTCTATCTTTCCATGTAAGTTGATTATGATTTTGTTGTAAATATTTCTTATATCTATATCCATTTTCTCTATCACAAGCATATAATTTCCATTTGATGGATTTTGCGTTAAACCATAACATCGAACAACAGCTGCCCATTTATTACTTATAGTTAAATGTGATTTAGCCTAAAAGGTAATAATTTGTAAAAATGCTCATATTAATATAAAGTCTCATAATTTTATACAATAAATTTAGAATATAATTATACAAACCTCTTCAAACAAACTTTGATTTGCACTTTCAACATTTTATAACTTTTTAAGTACTACTTTTACCACTATGAAGTTTTTTCAGAATCTTATCAGCAAGGACTGTTTGTTGGAATTCAAATTATTTGTGTATATCATTGTAAGTTTGTTTAAACTTAGTTATCAAATCTAACTAGTAAAATAACTAGTTTTAACTAGTTTTAGCTAAATCAAAATGGTTTAAACTTAAACTCAGTTTTAACCAGTTCAGATCAAACTACTTAACATCCGTAATAATGCTGCTGCGCTAAGGTAAGTACCAATTTTTACTGTTGAAATGATAAAGATCCTTTCATTTTAATAATTACAAAAAATCGAAAGTTTTAAATGTAGCAAGTCTCCTATTTTATCAGCGTTATTGGAGACAAATAATGTGATGGACCGATCTAAACTCAGTTTTAGGGTAATTGCTATTGTATATTTTCCACATGATATGAAATAAGCTTAATCATATTCAGATACACCAACAAATGGCTGACTTAAAATTCGTTGAACTTTTTAATCCCTTCGTTCTCCCCTTCCCTTTCGTTCTCCCATAACCCTTTCGTTCTCCCTTCATCCCTATAAAAAGTTTTATCCAAAAACTATGTAAACTCCGTAATATAAGGTCATTGATATTTGGAATTTTTTCGGTCATAATTGTGTGAAAAAAATTGCGTAAATTGATGCCTGACAATCAGCTTATAATAATTCGTTAAATTTTTAATGATATTTGGAATTTTTTTTTTTGTGTGAATTTAAGTCAATTTATTATTTTTATCCTTTAAGATTGTGATTATTAACTTATTGTATTGAAAAGAAAAAAAAATTATAAGATAATAAATGAACTAATATTTGTTTTTTTGGAGTGATTACTGCAGATACGATTGCAGTTTCTCTGGTTCATGAAAGATTTTTTTAATCCACTTCAAAAAATAATTTTAGATGGGTCAATTAAAGTGTTAAATAACTATTTAAAAAGAAAAAATTCTTTTATTTAAAATTTTTTACAGATAAAAAACCAATAATAATAATAATAAATACTGTAAATCACTTTTAAATATATGGAAGATAATAATTACTATTTGTTTGCAAATTGCAACCACTTTCTAACGTTTGTAATCAAAGTTGAGCATCTCGCTCTTTTTTTACACAAAACTTTAACAACTATATATTTTAATATGAACATATATAATATATTCTTTTTGCTTATCTGATACTTCCATAAAAATATACACTTAAGATATAATCCTAAAATAAATAATAATATAACCAAGTTAATTAATTTACTACTATGTATAACGATTGGTACACAATTTTTATTTAAAATAATAGCATTCCATATTAAAAAAATTAATGTGTAACCAATATTTGTAATCATAAAAGTAACTTTGTGCCGTCGTTATATTTAACTTAAATGACTTTGAAAATTGTAATAAAAAAAATATTATTTAAACATTAATTTAGGAAAAATAAAATAATTAATAATAAATATAGTTTGCGATTTTTCGTTTAATACTTTTAATTTAGAAAATAAAAACATAAAATAAATAAATTGAATCGATTTTAAGAAAGAAATTAACTTTGCAAATTTTTAATTTAACCGCAAAAAAAATTTGAATTGAGGAAATCATGCTGTTATTGATCATAATTTTGAAAAGTGACCCTACCAAAGGAAAATTATTGTCAAGTTTTTAAATGTATTTCATTAATATGGTACGAAATCATCTACATAAAATATCATATTAATATTTATTTTATAATTAAACGGATTCTTATAAAGATTCGTAAACGAATATTCGTGCGTTGGAAAGATATTGTCGGTTGCAGTGCCCTAGTCACTACCCTTTGTTATGTCAACATTACTTGCTTTAGCATATCATTGTTGAATCTTTCAATTTGTTCGTGCAAAGTTTAAATAAACATATTAAAATTTAGAAATTATAATGATATGAGTTATTAATGACAACATTTATTCATCTGCGGAGTACGTACTATGTACGACAACCATTTTCACCATTTAATAATATATCTGATAGTAAAGTACGCTCCGATCGATCATCACGTGTTAGCCCGTTAACGAATTGGAATGATGGAATATAACAACTGCAGAATATTAATTTTTCACGCATTATTAAATTATTTAAAAATATTAATATTTAAGAAAATTATAAATATTTTTGTTCCAAAATTCTCTTACTTAAAATCAAAATTGTCAAAGTGAAATCATATGATCCTAATTGTTAAAATTGCGAATTATATGAGAAATGTAAAAACCCTATATGGGATTCTGAATAATATAATATCAATCTTTAACTCGGTCATTTTTCTTTTGGATATCTTAGATTCTTTCTTCTCTTCACATCAATAATTTAATTTTGTATTCTAAATAGTAATTAATGGTTTTATCCGTTCGTTCTCATAATTATAAAGGATTGTAAGATTTTTAAGTGCAACAAGTCGCACTATTTTACCGGCGAATGTACTACACCTAGTAACAGTATGGATGCATCTGAATTAAACTTGTTTAAATTGGTAATAATTAAGTTTTTTTATCTTGAAAGATGTAATAAAGAATATCACGATTTAATTTTTTACATTATTAATTTCTTTAAGAATGAAACAAGTGAAAGAATTTAGAAAATATGACCATTTTTGAATTGTATTAAATGCAGAATGAAATATAGAAAGTTTTTTTACTTAAAAGTCACCTAAGGATTTTGTAATATTATTATACTTTAAGCTATAATAATAAATCGGACTGCACACTTATTAAATAATCAGCAATTGGCAAAATTTTGAGACATACAGCAATACTACACTACATCCTGAATTTTTCTATTAATTATTTATTAATAAAAAAAATTTTTTTTTTGATATAAAAGTTACCAATTTATTTATAGATAAAATTATTAAAATTATTGATTTTTCAATACCCTTATTAAAAAAAAACTGTTTTCAATAAAATTTTCTATTAAGACTTCTAAACAAAATTCTCCATCAAAAAATTAAAAAAACTTTTCAACCAACAATTCTCTAATGAAATTCTCAATCAAAAAAAATATCCCCTATTAAAGAAAAATTTCTAACGAAAATCTTCCGTCATAAAACACATTTTCCTTATTAAAAAAAATTTCAAAAGAATTTCTATATCAAAAAAAACTTCCCTCCTATTAAAAAAAAAAATTCTTAACGAAATTCTCTATCAAAAAAAAATCTCGATTTCGTTAGAAAATTTTTTAACAAAGTATCTATCAAAAAAAAAAATTTCCCTATTAAAAAATTCTTCAAGGAATTTTCTATAAATTCTTTATAAAAAAAAAATCCCTTCTGTTAAAAAAAATTGTTCCAACAAATTAGGTGTCAAAAAAAAAATCTTATTAAAAAAAAATTCTCCAGTGAAATTTCTATCAAATAAATTTCTTTAACGAAATTATTTATCAAAAAAAAACCTTTTTATTAAAAAAAGTTCCCAAAGAAATTCTATCAAAAAAAAGCCTTTTCCTATTAAAAATAAAAGCCAGTAAAAAAAAAAATTCTTCGTGTAAAATTTAAAAAAAAAAATTTAAAACTACGCTAAACTTAAAAAACGTGATTGACAAAATATCAACCCTGTGCTGACAAAGAAACTAATTTTTTATCGAATATAGTCAAGTCGGATAAAATCATCAAGAACGTGATATATAAACATCAAGCACGGACACTATAATGG